AAGCTTCACCCTTGCCTACGACCAACGACCAACACCGCTGTAGCTACATTCCTAAGAGGCTCCGCAGCCAATCCTCATCTTCCTCACCACGGTAGTTTTTGCTGATCTGCCAATAGTTGGTGGATTTAAGGAGAACGGAGAGTGGACTTAAGGAGAACGAAGGGAATGCTTGTGCCCTCACAACAACAACAATCGCAGTAGCAATAGCGATCTGCTCTTACCCTACTCACGAAGCCTCTCACTCGTAAACTATTCTTTACATCAATCCAAGATTGATATCCTTGACAAGAACACCTCTTGCAGGGATATAATAGAAAATAAGATTTTTCCAACTATACGAGGAAATCTCTCTATTCTATTGAGAATAATCCTCTATTCTGTTGAAGAAAATCCTTCCAGCTCTCAATAATTATTCTTATCTTTTTATCTTTTAACAAACCAATAACTGAACAAACTAAAATATGAATCACAAGATAAGGGAATATGTGAGTGGACAAAAAACTATGGAACAATGATTGATGTTGACTATTTAAGATCACCAAACGATCCTCCCAAAATTTCAAGCTCAAATCTAATGTCTTGCAATGCATACAGTGTTGCCTGCATCGATCTGCAGAATTCATTAACAAATCAATTAAGTTCGACAAAAGATGCTTGCATTGACTCCTATGCCGATCACATACTGACAACTTAATCATTAAAAACAAAACAAGAACGTGAAATAGATCATATCACATATCACCTGCGGCAAGAATACAAAGAACATGCCAACCAAAAGAATCCAACTATAGTTAATACCCGAAGAACCCTAAATCTCAGAGACAGCCCTTTAGTCAACAAAATAAAAATGAAATGCCATCGAACACCAAGATTAATGGAAAGATTGAAAAAGGAAAAGAAAACGAATGAAGATCTTGAATCGATGATGCTTTGAAGGAAAGCGGACGGCAAGATGATCCGCACATCGATAATCCGAATGACATCTAATCAATCGAAGAGATATGATCACGATCCGAGATGGATCCAAGAATAATCAAATGCCATCAAAAGCTACGATTCATGGAGAGATTTAAAGAGAAAGAAAAAACGAATGAAACAGATGGAGTCGTACATGAAATCTTTAATCGGTGATCCTCTGAAGGAAAGCGGACGGGAACACGTCGTAATCCGTACAACACTAATCGATCATAGGGGTATGTTCACGAGCCGAGAGAAAACGATTCAAGAAGAATCAAATGCCATCAAACACCAACATTCTCCGAGAGATCGAAAGAAAAGAAAAACGAACGACTCACATGGAATCGTATCTTAAGTTCTTGAATCGGTGAGACCCTGTGGAGGGATGTGAAGGGAAAGATCGTCCAGACAGAGATAAACAGAACAAACTCTGATTGAACGAGAGAAATGATCACGATCGGAGAGAAATCGTTTCAAGAATAAGCAAATGCCATCAAATACCAAGAATTCTTAGAGAAATCTAAAGAGAAAGAAACGAACGGCTCGTTCTTGAATCAGTGAGATCATGTGGTGGAACGTGGACGTGAAGATCCTCCACATATCGATCATCCGGATAAACTCCAAACAGAACGAAGAGATATGATCACGATCCGAGAGGAATCGATTCAAGAATAATCAAAACTCATCAAACACCAAGATCCATGGATAGATCGAAAGATAAAAAAGGAACGATACGCGCGGAGTCGTGCCTAAAGTTCTTGAATTAGCGTGACCCTATGGAGGAATTTGGATGGGAAGATCGTCCACACATCCATAAACCTATTCAAACTCTAAATCGATCAAAGATATATGATCACGATCCAAGAGAAACCGATTCAACAAGAATAAAAAGCATCCATCTATATTTAACCCAAGAAACCATAAATCAAAGAAATCACCCAAGAAAAGCAAGATTCACGGAGTGATCGAAGACATAAATGGAATTATACCAGCAAATACTGAATCGACTGATTCCTCGGAAGGATCAAAGATGGGAAGATCGACCTCTGGCGAGACATCGATCGGAAAGAGCCACTCCATGATCCAAACGAGCTCTAATCGGTCGAACACGACAGAGAAAAGGAGGCAGGCGTTCAAGAAACGAAAAATGGGAAGGCAAGAGCGAGGCTTCATATTCACATATATATACCGCCTGGCTTGTTAAAGACGCACATCTTTTCTGTTAAGTGTGCGCTTCTAACGGAAAAATGAAGTTGCCACCGCAGAGGCAGGGCGTGTACAGTTATAAGAAGGGCGCATCACATTGCGGGTGCGGCTGAGCGGGACATTTTGAATTGGGCACCACGTGGAATTTTCCTCTTTCTTTGGGATCGTCGTGTTGGGGATCGGGTTGTTTGATCTCTCGCAAGCGTGCGTGCCGTAAGATTCGTGCTTGACGCATGCTAGTTTTCATATACGATTTGTGTTCATCGCGCTTTGAGATGTGTGCTATAACATGATTCCTTCTATTTGATTACTGTTGCCATGAAACCCACAGTGGATGCTGCGGAAGCCACTCGAGTCGGTGGTGCCATCAAGAAAACCAGTCCTCGACATGTCTAGGAAACCTGCAGGCTGTGTCGTGATGTTGTTCAGGGTTAGGGTTTCCAAGAAGGAAAGTCTCATGCATGGTCGTCTCGTGATGTTGTTCCTGGAGCTTTCCGAAGCCCAAGGACGTCGATGTCAAGTAAGTCGGGAGCGGTGGTAGGGAAGAACTGGCGGAGACTATGTGTCGAAGAGGATGAGGAGGATGACGACTTTGAGAAGTCTTCTAGTAAAACGTGACATAAGTTCGCATCCACATGTCAACCTCACGTCAACAAAGGTTAGCCACCACAAGCATTTATCGATCCCATTAAATACTGATATTAATGTTCTTAAAATATTATTATTATTCTGTACGGTTCATAAGATATACTGTCGTCAGACCCTCATGTCAATTGCGTCCATTACAAGCCAAGACCGAGGCGGAGGCGATGGCTCGGCTTGTGTTGTACTTTTTATTCGAGTAAACCCAACAAGTGCGCAAAGAGACCGGAGAGCGCTTCATACAATTCCACACGCGGTTACGTTCAAACGAGTCAGCGCAAACGGGCGGCCATTGAACCCACACGCTGCTTTCGCCGTTCGATCCGAGGCGGCGCTGATCTCGACCGTCCATATCACCCGCGGACGACGGCTTTCACGCGGGCTGGCTTTCCTCTCCCTTTCTCTGACCCTTCCTCGCATCCGGGCTGTCCTTTTTGTGAGAAGCATTCCTCTCTTCCTTCTCTCCGCTGCTTCGCGTCCGCGACGACCTATAAAGCCTCGGAGACCGGACGGATAGGACCCAAATCGAGATCGCGGATTCCGTTCCTCCCTGTTATCTCTCTCGCTCCCTTTGTCGTGTGCATCGTCTTCTCTGCTCGAGTTCTGTCACGAAACATGGACGGGGCTCCGGTGAACGAGTTCCCGGTGGCGCTGACCCACGGAGGCCGGTACTTGCAGTACGACATCTTCGGAAATCTGTTCGAGATTACATCAAAGTATCGGCCGCCGATCATGCCGATCGGAAGGGGGGCTTACGGCATCGTCTGGTACCTAATCTTGTTTCTGCTATTCGTATGGGAAATCGATGGGAGTTTGATGAATTAGTAGCTTTGATGATTGTTTGGTTGATTGTGGTTCTAATTTTTCCTCTTTATTACAGTTCGGTGATGAATTCGGAAACTGGGGACATGGTAGCCATCAAGAAAATAGCCAACGCGTTCGACAATCACATGGATGCAAAGCGGACACTTCGAGAGATCAAGCTCCTTCGGCACTTGGATCATGAGAATGTAAGCCCTCAGTAATTACCTGTCAAAATTCTTGAATTGTGATGGCTAGGGAAAGTTCCTTCTCATGATCAAGCTTCGATGAATTCATTTCATCTTCGATGACAAATCACAGCAATGCAAAATAGTACATCTGACAGCCAATTTGAACTGCTTATGGTCTCCAATAATACACAATTATTATTGTTTCCATATATATATGTATATATTCTTGATGTAGGACATTGTGGGGCGGGTAGTGAGCACAATATTGAGGACCTTAGCCTTTTGACCTTGACATTGATCGTGTTTGCTCTTAATTCCAAGTTGTCAAGGAAGTGGAACATACACATAATGGAAACATAACTTCATTGATTATGAAAGGAGCTGTGAAGAAGAAGAGATATACATGTATAACAAAACTTTCTTGAATGATGTGTGTTCTATAAATATCTTTGAACCTACATAAGTTTCATTTATGGGGTCAACCCTGCATGATTGCTTGCATTTTGGTGGTCCTTAATGGTTGCTTTCTTTATTCGAAAGCTACAGGACACCTCCATAAACTTTTACTTGATGTCATCAGGTTACCTGTTTGAACACTGGATGTTGCATCAAATTATTCATGGAGTTTAGAACAACTGAAAATGTCCTTCCTGATAACAGTCAATCATGCATCCTGGATATCTTAGCTGTGAACTGGTTATGATATCAGTTTCTTGCTTAGCTGCATACGATTCAGTAACAAAATAGATCTCCATTTTTTATTTCTGAAGAGAAAAATAGTCAGGAATTATACTTCATATATGTTACATCTAAGGGAATTGGTCTAGAGAATGTCTTAGATGTACTAAATATGCAAAATATATGGAGTTGGCACGGATAACTGATAAAGAAAACCATGGTTTCTTGTCTAAAATATGCTGTGTCAATGAAACTGTTCCTGGTTTTAGCATGCCCCATTTCAGTATCTTCACTGGAAACTATACATTAAAGATGTGATTCTCAGCGATCTGTGATCTGTTCTTACGGTAACTGAATGCCTTTACCGTCGACAGGTTATAGGGATAAGGGATGTGGTCCCCCCGCCAATTCCACAAACATTTAATGATGTTTATATTGCAACTGAGCTCATGGATACTGACCTTCACCATATAATCCGCTCCAACCAAGAATTATCGGAGGAACACTGTCAGGTACGTTGTTCATGATCCTGATACTACTGCAAGCACAGAATTAGACTTGATCCACTTGTTCTGACAAGGTCATGGATGGCTTTTTGCTTCCAAATTGTGCAGTACTTTCTATATCAGATTCTTCGTGGATTGAAATACATACATTCAGCAAAAGTTATTCACCGAGATCTGAAGCCAAGCAACCTTCTGCTGAATGCAAACTGTGATCTGAAAATATGTGATTTCGGTCTGGCACGTCCCACATCGGAGAATGAGATCATGACAGAGTATGTTGTGACCAGATGGTACAGGGCGCCGGAGTTGTTGCTGAACTCCACAGATTACACTGCAGCCATTGATATGTGGTCAGTGGGTTGCATCTTTATGGAGCTAATGAACAGGAAACCTCTGTTTCCTGGAAGGGATCACATGCACCAGATGCGTTTGATAACAGAGGTAAGATCAGAATTCATCAACAATGATGATTAATTTCACCTATTCAGTGTTATTGCTTACAACATATTCTTTTTCGCTCTCTCTAAGGGATGACGTTTATTACATTCTGTGTTTTCAGCTTATTGGCACTCCAACAGAGGCTGAGCTTGAATTCATTCAGAATGAAGATGCAAGAAGGTACATGAGGCATCTGCCTCGGTATCCACGTCAGTCATTTGCAAGTCTATACCCACATATCAGTCCAGTTGCTATTGATCTTATTGAGAGAATGCTGACATTTGATCCCACCAAGAGAATTACAGGTAACTGGTCTTTGACAGTTCTGCATTGTCAAATTTTTTATCCTCTTACAAACAAATCAATAACGATGGAGAATTTGAATTAAAGAAATCAAATTATTGACCTAATTGTTGAAACCAATTATTTTGTGGCAAGCGGTTGAAGGAAAACTTAGGTTAATTTGTGATGGCATCGTATTAGTATCTGTTCCTGTGTGAACTATAAACAACATAACACATTGAAGTGGTTAGATCTGATTATTTTCAGAACTTTGTGAAACATCTGATGTTGTTGTACTTTCACATTCATTTGCTTACTTTGGCTTTCCATCGATTCTGCAGTCGAAGAAGCACTAGATCATCCATACCTTGAGAGGTTGCATGACATTGCTGATGAACCCACTTGCATGGAACCTTTCTCCTTCGATTTTGAGCAACATGCCCTCACGGAAGAGCAGATGAAGGAGCTGATATACAAAGAAGCTATAGCATTCAATCCAGCATACTAGTTTTAAGAGACACCGGTTCGCCTACAATTGGCCATCAACTGCTGCTGTAAATACTTTGAAACATGAAGAGTTTGTGATGAAATTCTATATTTTTTAGGTTCTTTATTTAGCACGAGTGTCTTGGTTGTCTTCATGAAACTTATTTTTAGAACAAATATTATTATGAGACGTTTGAAGTGCATGCCAGTTTACTTTGCTGAACAAATTTAAATCCGTGAGTGCAAGTAGATCCACCACTGGTTTCATTGTGCTAGAACTTTCAGTTCTTCCAGGACTTTAAATTCATAGTTTTACAATGTGGAAATGACTACTGTCTCTAGATGCTTAATGCAGCATTGTTATCTTTCAAGATTGGTGCACCATTAACCTGATGTGTGAAAGAGCAGGTGACTTGAGTTACTTGGTAGTGGCTTGGTCCCATTTCTTTGAAGAGCACCATAAGAGAAAAATGGATGTGAAGCATAAGAATGAAAACATATCCTTTACTTTCAAGATAGATGTACATTTTCTTAGAATCATTTGCTAGCTGTGAACTGCTATCATCAAGATAAATGATCTATCTGCAAGACAGTCCATCAAATTCTAGTCTTGGGTCATGGAGTTCAGAGCCAAGATAAAGGTAGCACCATCCTAGAAACACATAATTACTTCCAATTAACCTTTTCTATGTTCCCTCTCAATCAGATGAAAGAGCAAGAGCAAGTAGGATAAATCATATCTACCAACAGATCATGTACCATGAGACTAGTACAAGTTTAAGAAGCTTTAACACAGAAAGGACCAAGTTTTGGTTCCCTCATTGGCCCACAGCCATGTTCACCTTCTCTGTAAAGTCTGAAACTGTTACCATGTTACTCCTGCCTGATTTCTCTGGCAAAGGACTGTCATAATAGTTGGGTATCTTATAGTCCTTGTTTCTTTGCTGCTTTTCTGATTCCTCTTTATGATTGTACAGCCCAACAGCTTCCCCACCTCATCTTTGCTGGAAGTGAGATCCTCTTCACATGATAAGATCCTAACATGCAAACACCTTCAGAATCAGAAGAGCAGTATCTCAAGTCAATATTTGTTTTATCTAATATAGGATTGCATTTCATGATTTATGCATTATGATTGTATCAAAAGGATAACCATGCACAACAAAAATAAAAACTTAAGTAAATATCCAATTCAAACCATCAATGATAGAGTAGCTGAAACATACATTTATATTATATCTTGGTCAATTGCAAGAAAGGAAAATTTGGCCTCATAAATAAATCCAAAGAACCCTGTAGTTAACATTAGCATTACAGTAAAAGATAAAAAAGGCAGCACTAGATCATGCTTAGAGATAAGGAAGGAAAAGCACAATATTGCTAATGAGAATAACTGATGAGATATAATTTTGTTTGAGACTACTATTCATAAGGATAAAATTATCCATCCACTAAGATTTGACACATTGACATTAAAAGATAAGAAATACGAAAAAATTGATTGCATAGGAATATCATCAATTATAATTAATTTTTTTTAAATAAAAAATAATTTGAGAAATATTCTTTTAATCATAAATAATAGTTAAGGAGACTTGGTTATAAATAAAAGACATCTATTATAATTCAATTTTTTTCTTTGTTTTCACTCTTTCTTACTCTTCATAGATATCCACTAACTTAGGCATTAAAGGGATGGATCGAATCAATATTCACTTTTTCTTCTTACCTACCAAAAGATGATTCTGATTCAAGATAATTCTAAATCAATAAATGATTTTGAGGATAACCACTATTTGACTATAAATAATAGCTATAGATTTGTCAAATTTTAATTTTCATTTATGGTCCTGAAAACATGGGACATGAAAAATTATCACAACGAGCAGTGATTAATGATGAAGTGGCCGAACCTTGCGACTCCTTTTCTTATCAACAACAAGAAAAAGAGCAAAAAAATCATGGAGGAATAATTCACTCATTCAGATACATCTCCTCAACTGTCAGTCGCATTTGTGACCATCAGCTTTAAATGGAGAAATCATCACCTCCTCAATCATTCATCCTTGGCAAATCTGATCCTTCGAGGTAAGCTCGCCATAGAGTGACCGGATACAAAGCGCTGTGAAGTGACTGAAGTGAGGTGACAACCGAGGGCGGGAGTAAAAGAGAAGCAGATCGGGTCACCGCAGGTTGAGGGACGGTCACGTGTCCTCGCTGTAAAGCTAAAGGCAAGCGGAGCGGCGATCCTTTCCCACTTCGCACCCTCTTTACAGCTTCCGTCGATTTATGGTATCGTTCTCCCTCTCGGTTCCCCTTTCCTTTCCTTCTTTCCCACTTCGAATGCTCTTTACAGCCTCCGCCTATTTATCGACTCTCGTTTCCCCTTCCCTTTCATTCTTTCCCACTTCGAACCCTCTTTACAGCTTCCGTCTATTTATCGGCTCCCTTCTCCCTCCCTTTTCCGCTTTCCTTTCATTCGCCCTTGCAGCGAGCCGGCGTGCGATGTGGCCTGGCTTGGGGAATGGCGAGGCTCGTTCATCTCGTCGTCTTCAATCTCCTCCTCCTCTTCGTCGTCTGCAGTGCTCAGATGCCTGGTATATCTTCTTACATCGTGCCGGTCAAAGTTGCTTTTCCGGAAGTTGTTTGCATTGTTTAGGTTAGATATTAGGTTAAATGTTACCAAGATCTGCGGAAACCGAGCTTCGATCGTTCATGTCAAGCCCTGTTTCACTTGGCTCTGCTATACCGAGCTGTCGTTACACGCTAACTTGATGAAAGAAGACAATCGTACCAGCGGCGAGCAGCTGGTGGACAGATCTGAACAAAGAAGAGCGTCTAGAACAGAAACAGAGAACGCATCTAAGATCCATAACAAAATGAACTAAGAAACTGGTCAATTCTAGCAAAACAGTTCTCCTTCAAATGCGATGGAGCTTGTTAGCCTTCTTGGCAGAGGCAGAAGCCAACCATTCTTTGGGGACGAAGGCTATACCTAATTGTTTGAACTGTTAAACTTGTATGCTAGCTTTGTTCCCATATGAAACTTGTATACCAAACGACACATTACGAGTTTGCCTTCATCGCAAAGTGTAATGTAAGGTGAATTTGGTAACACTTTTCCATACTTTTGCTTCTTTTTGCTGACCATCTTCTCTGTTGAAAAGTTATCATTCAGCACATTTCTGATTATGTTTGTGATAAGAATGCACTTTTCATTCTACACCATTGGATACTCTATTAACTCTGGTTGTACAGATTCATATAAGAAAGTTTAAGTGAGATCATTTTCATGAAAAGCAGCATATGTTCATGTTTCCAAAATATAAAAGCTAGTAGCTTACGTGCATAGTTATTGCTGGACAGGTTTTGTCAGTATTGACTGTGGAGGCAGCGAAACATATACTGATTATATTGGACTGGTGTGGACACCTGATAGTCAATTTATTTATGGTGAAGCAGCTAATATATCAGTTCCAAATGAGAACCGCAAGCAATATAAGACAGTGCGGTACTTCCCAGCAGATAATAGAAAGTACTGCTACACATTCAATGTCACAATCAGGACACGGTACCTCGTGCGAACAAGCTTCTTATATGGGAACTTTGACAGAAGTAATGTTTATCCAAAATTTGACATTTCAATTGGTGCAAGTCATTGGTCAACCATTGTTATCTACGATGAGAAAGCCATTGTGACACAAGAGGCCGTTATCCTAGCTTCTTTTCCTACAGTTAGCATTTGTTTGTCTAATGCTACAACTGGACAGCCTTTTATTTCTACCATCGAGCTTCGGCAATTCAATGGTTCACTCTATCACACAGAATTTGAAACTCAGTTTTTCTTGAGTCTATCTGCAAGACTAAATTTTGGAGCTGACAATAATGGATCTATCAGGTATTTGTTATGCTTCATAATTGTTTAAAATTATTGGGTAAGTTAATTGAATATAATTTTGGTTTTCCATGCATTCTCCTAATGTTAAAACTGAATCCTATCTTCGCCGACCTAATCATCATGCAACAATGCAGACTTTGGAGAATGTATCATGAATCTTGTGTCATGAAAAAACAAAAAAAACTCAGATCACCAAGCATTAGTTACCACGGAGAAATGTGTGTGTGTTCTAAGGTATATATTGAGGAAATTGAAGTATTCTAGAATATGAAATGATCAGACCTACCGGTCAACATGCATAATAGGCTTTGTTACGTTATATGAACTGTAAAAGCACCTTAAGGGTGGGTTTAGAAGAAAAACTATATACAAGAAAAATGATATTCCTTCCAAAATGATTCTGCCATAGTTCTGATTTTCAAACATTGCACCTTCCTATGCTATCTCCATTTTGTTTTTATTTCCGTGTATTGTTTAGCTGGGTTGGTTCTCTGGTGGTGAAGGATTTTTTTTCTTGGTTTTAACTGCTACAATGATAACATGTTCTCTATGCTTACAGGTACCCAGATGATCCTTACGATCGAATTTGGGAATCTGACTCTTTGAAGAGGCCAAACTACCTTGTCGATGTTGCTCCTGGAACTGAAAGAATATCGACTGCTATGCCTATAGATGTCAATAATGATGAAAGGCCACCTGTAAAGGTTATGCAAACAGCTGTAGTGGGGCAAAATGGAACCTTGAACTATCGGCTTAACTTGAATGGTTTTCCAGGGTATGGTTGGGCATTTTGTTATTTTGCAGAAATTGAAGAGTTAGGAGTGAATGAAATTAGGAAATTTAAGCTAGTGCTTCCAGGGAATAAGGAACTAACTCGTCTCATTGTGAATGTCCAAGAAAATGCTCAAGGGAAGTATCGGTTATATGAACCAGGATCATATAATATAAGCCTCCCTTTTGTCTTGTCGTTTGCTTTTAAGCAAACTAATGATTCATCCAGGGGACCCATCTTAAATGCTTTGGAGATTTACAAGTACATGGGGATACATTATGGCTCAATGGATGGTATATATGGATATCGTTTTCTTCATTAGCTGATATAAACTGTGTTTTTCATCAGGCTGCATCTGTAATATTGTTTCTTTCTTTTTTGCATTGCAGCATCAACCATGCAAAGTTTCACATCACATTACCCACAAGCAGTTTGGGCGCAAGAAGGCGGGGATCCATGCTTACCAGCTCCATGGTCCTGGGTGCAATGTAATTCAGATCCACAACCAAGAATTGTTTCAATGTACTGAATTAGTATTGGTATCACTTTCTCTGTACTTTGTTGATATTTTTCTACCTATATTCGTGCATGTACTCTATAAAATTAGATCCATTCTCAGTTCGTGCTAATAATAGCTTGTTGCATGAACAGTGAATTATCAAAGAAAAATTTGACAGGAGATATACCTTTGGAACTTGCTAACTTAACAGGCTTGGTCGAGTTGTAAGTTTGAATACAACTTACTCCTTTTTGATGTCTTAATTATTTATGTTTCTTGAGGCACAAGCTTCCTTCTTTGTAACTATCCTAAATTCAAATGTTGCAGGTGGCTTGATGGGAACATGCTTACTGGTCCAATACCTGAACTTGGTGGATGCTTGAATCTGAAAGACATGTAATAGTTAGAAAATTCAGTTGTTGTACCTTTTAAAACATTATGCTTTAAAAGTTTGGTTTTTTCTTATTTGTAGTCACCTTGAGAACAATAAGTTAACCGGCGATTTGCCATCATCATTGGTGGGCCTACCAAGTTTAAAGGAACTGTAAGTCCTTTCTCTCAGTTTTAAAGCATACACTATTTTTTGGCTGGTTTATACAATAAATTAGCATCTAGATCCAAGAAGTAGCTGAATTTGAATTTGGTCATTCTAAGTTATCTTCAAGTAATTTCTGTAATAAAAAACACTTCTATTGTGTATACTGTACCTTATGCCTCCGTTGAATCATAAACTCATGATTGTTTTTTCTACCATATCCTGTCTTTTGTTATGGTTTTGCCGGATGCCAGCTACTGCATGAACTGAGAGTAGAATACTGATGGTTGCAGGTATGTGCAGAACAATATGCTGTCCGGAACAGTGCCCACTGGTCTTCTCGGCAAAAATATTGTTTTTATGTAAGTATTACTTTTTCATTCGCCGTGTTGGCAACTTCTTATTTCTTCCTTTCTAACAATCTCTTTGCCTGATTTGTTTTTCAGGTACTCTGGAAATGCATATCTTGATGGGGAAAAAAATAGCAAGAGGCACATTATAATTGTTTTGTGCTGTGTTTTTGGATTTTCTGTGCTGCTTGCGGCTGTTCTTGCCTACTTATTTGCACACAGAAAAAGAGAGTTACTTTCAGGAAAAGGTATAGCTTCATACTCGTTGAAGATTTTTAATTTGGTCATCAATTTATCAGCGAACTGAAGGTGAAAACTCGTGTCTCAGATGATCTTGCCACCGTCCTACCACTTCAGAAGCAAAGTGCTTCCTTCAGTGAACTTGGTACTGACGTAGCCCATCGATACATGTTGTCCGAAATTAAATGTGCCACAGAGAATTTTGCAAAAAAAGTTGGTTTTGGAGGTTATGGGACTGTATATTATGGAAAGATGACAAACGGAAAGGAAATTGCCGTGAAAGTCCTTACAAATGATTCTTGTCAGGGGAACCGGCAATTCTCAATTGAGGTAACCTATATAAATAATCAGGTAGACAAGTAATACTATTATGTGTTATGCTGTGTATCACTTAGTGACATACTTTCCACTAGCTTCAACAATGGGAAAAAGATCCTGGTAGCTAACTGCACATAGTTGTCACAACTCACAAGTTCGATGAACGAAGACTTCCGTTTACAATGATTTCTTAAATATACATGAGGACAAGTACATATCTCCCACCAGTCATGAATGATGCTAGTCAATTTGGTTTTTACTTGAGATCCAAGAAGTCATTGTAGTGGTGGTACCATAAGCTTAATAGGGGAGAACACTAGAGTCAAATATGTTGGAACATCTTAAAATTTGTTCTATATCTATTGAAGGTGAGTCTCTAGAGTATAGCCTTACTGTAACTGAGTAATTTTCAGACACCACTGAAGCAAGATTTCCATGCTGGTCAGGATTGTGTACCCTGTGGTTTTGTTTATGTTCACTTGGCAAGATCATTGTTTAACTGTAGAGATAATTTCTGAAAGCCATTATCACAAATCATCACACTAAAAAGGCCTGTTTCAGGTGTCCCTGCTTTCCAGAATACATCACAGGAACCTGGTACAATTTCTAGGTTACTGCCAGCAAGAGGGGAAGAACATCCTTGTCTATGAGTTTATGCATAATGGAACTTTGAAAGAGCACCTTCACGGTACGAGTCTCATATTTTCTACGTTATGAATATTTGGAAGTACAATAATTTATTTAATCTTTGCAGGTTCTGCATCTCAGAGACAACATATTAGTTGGATTAAGCGTCTTGAGATTGCTGAAGATGTTGCAAAAGGTTCCATTTGAGAAATAAATTATCATTTATCTAGACCGTTGATTTATCTTCTGGAGTAGTATGATAACAATGGGAACTTACATATAACATTTATCAGGCATTGAGTATCTCCATACTGGCTGTTCTCCGGCCATAATCCACAGGGATCTGAAGACCAGCAATATTCTTTTGGACAAGAACATGAGAGCAAAAGTTTCAGATTTCGGTCTTTCAAAGCCTGCTGCAGACGAATCCCATGTCTCAAGCGTTGTTCGAGGGACTTTGGGCTACTTAGACCCTGAGTAAGGCCTTCTTCCCGCACAACTAGTGTGTTAAATACTCACTATAACAATTATATTTCTTGTACACTCAAAATACATGAGCAAGTCATGAAGTTTAATGTCACGAAGATATAATGACATGAGGAGTAATCAGGAATTTTTGTATTAGCCACAGGTTTCCAAGAATTAGTTACATCTGGGAAGTCATGGCGGCATAATATGTTTAATATTTTCATCTTCTGCTCCCCAACTGATTCCGGCCTCACCAATTTATTCATAATGTGCAGGTATTACACCTCACAGCAATTAACAGTAAAGAGTGATGTTTATAGTTATGGCATTATCCTTCTGGAGCTTATTTCTGGTCAAGAGCCGATATCTAACACAAGTTTTGGCGAGAGCTTCCGAAACATAAGTCCGTGGGTCAGTGCACCACTTTCACCTTGCTACTAATTAATTACAATTGTTTGAAATTTCTCTGCAACTTTTAATTCTCTGATTAACGGCCAACTATCAAACCAAATTACTATTTCTTTGTCGTACACATCTGAGGCAGCTGCAATGGCAGTTAAAAGTCAGTGGACTTACATGTTCCCAATTCTTTTACAAGCTCGATGTCAATTTTTATTTCTTAGAATCCGTTGTGTTCTCTTAGAAATAGTCGCTTGACCCTGTTTTAGTGGCAGTAGTCTTACTAAATTTCTGTAAACAGGCAAAGTTTCATTGTGAGAGCGGAGAAATCGAGGCTATCATCGACCCATCACTTGGGGATGATTACAATGACATCCAGTCAGTGTGGAAGGTTGCCGAAGTGGCAGTGAGATGCGTCAACCGGGAAATGAGAAACAGGCCAGCCATGTCCGAAGTGCTCAAGGAGATCCAAGAGGCTATCGCACTGGAGCACGCTCCGGCGAACACACAACCCAACAATTTCTTTGGTGAAGTTTACTTGGACGCATTGAACAATCCTGGACCCGATGCTTATTCTAGTGATTCCTTTACCCAGCCAGAGCTCCGCTAGTGCTGACCGTACCTGATGTGCTTCCATATTTTTATGATTTTGTTCATAACTAGGATTGGAAAACAGTGTAATTCAAATTTTGAGTAGTTTGTGATCATAATTTAGACATATAACAAGTGTTCATGTCATGACGAATGTGCAACTTTCGGGAGAAATTTCTGATATCAATTGTTATACCACGTGGATTGAAGTTGTGTTAACCACAAACCGAGAATCAGAATTTTCATGTGAAATTCATAAAGGGAAAACGGAGAGCAGAAACATATGAAACATTCGATGTGTCCAGACATCCATGCATTAACACTCGGAAAGGTTTATTGGAAATATGCTTACTGAAGTGACTTCATGTATGGACGAACGATCTAGTCCTCCGCAAATCTGAAAACGAAAACAAACGTAAGGCAAAAGTCAACTACTTCCGTAAGACCTGCACTTGTTGATCAAGAAACCCTTCGATGCATACCCTAGTTCGGAGAGCTTCAGGTGTGCTTCAGCATAGTCAGCAAAGAAGGCATCCTCATCCTGAGGGTGAGGACGTCGGATCAGTATAACGCACATAATGCAACTAGAGAGAGACAAAAAAAAAAAAAAGATCAGATGAGAGCGCATACGGCAGCGTATTTCTCGACGAGGGGACGGAAAACAGGATCGGTGAGGAGAGCCTTATCGGACGGGAGCTGGATGACGTCGTCTTTCTCGCCGCTCAGGAGCTCCCTGCCACCGGACATATGAGAACATATACAGAGCAGAGGAACACATCAGAACATGCAGATGTCGAGGAGGCGACATAAATCCTACTTGAAATAGGAGTTGTCGAAAATAAGAGGATTGGAAGTCCAAGCTCCCTCGAAACCGGAGCGCTCCTTGTGGCATCTCCCCTGAGACATCAGAAGGTGCCATCGCACGCAAAGTAATTAGATAACAAAAGGTCTAGCGAACGAAATGCTGCGACGATAAAGAAGTGTGCAAATATTGATTTACCAGCGTGTGGCCACCAGAGAGTGCAACGATATCCTGATCGCTGAGACCCATGTGGCCAAACACATCCCTGAGGTGGTCCGAACCTGCGAGACCGGAAGCCCATCAGAAACAATTTTGATCATCTCTTACTGTTTGTACAGGAAAATAAGGTTACTGTGGCTTCTCATCAACCAAACTCAATAGGACGCATGCAAAAGCCAGAGAAAGAGTCTATATCATGATGATTGAAAATTGAACCAAGCGAACAAAACATCTAAATAGAACTAATTTTATGATATCCCCAAAATGCAGCATGAGAAGTAGGAACATTGGAGGGTCATTTTGAATGTCCTGAAACATTTTGTCTAAAGCTGTACCTTTTGTGGCATCAGGCAGGCGGCCTTCCTCAGGAGGTTGGGTCTTGTCCTGAAACAGAAAAACAATATCATCAATGCAAAACAGACCAAATCTTGTTCAGGTATCCTTCACTAAATCTGCTCTCGGGAAGCTTTATCGTCACTTCAACTCTTGCGAATGAATGTCTCAAGAGTCTTAGGGTCCCATCCTACTCGAATGAACATCTGATACAGTCAAATCCGAGATCGGCACAACAGAAGTCTGCTTCACGGAACTCGACATCATCTACGTATTACATACCATAATATTTATTATAAGTTCTATGCAATATCGATGTGGAAGTGGGAAAAAAATTAAAGAAACTTATGACAACTATATGGATATCAATAGGATTTCGATTAGTTATGTTTATATCGGATAAACAAGAATTAACTTAATAAAATTATCATTGATATTATAAGTTTATATGTTTTGGATTGAAAATTTCATTTGAGGATTAATTATATATTACTTCTATACTTGAACCCTATTAGCATCGTGACCTCTGTAAATATAAAATTTATATTAAATTTTTTATAGTTTTAAAAATAAAATAAATAATTATATTTATCTTAATGTTGTCAACCGTATTGACGTAAAATATAACATATGACGATCGATGTAAAAACGATAAGTAAAATGATAATTTTAACATCACTTTCGTTTTCAATGACTTTATTGTAAAAAGATAATTTCAATATCCCACGTATTAAAAATAAAATAATATTAAAATTATCTTTTTTTCTATTATTTTCGTGCTAATTCAACATGTGGTATCATGTGTTGTATTTTTCATCAATATAGTTGACGATATTATGACAAATAAGATTATATGTTTCAACCATAGAGATTCCAATATAAATTTTTGAAGTATAAAAAGCATGATACTAATAGGTCCAAATGACTTAAATATTTTGCTTGAATTATTTTAGCTCATATTTTTTGAGGAATCATATCAATGATATACAACCCTTCCAATAGATTTACTCGCAAATTAGAAGGAATAACGCCACCGCACATCTAATACGCGCAACCTCCTTAGAATATATTTACTGCTCCAATCTTACTCTCCGTTAGTTTTGGGGAACTATATGATTCTATAATTACGTCATTTCTCCACTTCCAATTCCAGGAAGAGTTGAGGACGAATGAAGCAGATCCATAACCGCCGACCCGATCAATCCTAACCCTAATCTTTTACCCTTTTTTCTTCGTGTTAGCAAGAAAGAGAGCGCGGGTGTTTGATACCTCTCTGCCGGGATGGAAAGGGATCTCCGGCCCTCCTGTGACTTCGACGGCGACGACTCCAGCGAGCTGCCAAGTAATTGAATGCAAAACAAGCGTTGAAAGCGCCGTATCCTCTTGTTTAAAGATCTGGACAGGGAGATCAAAAGGGGGGAGAACCTGGTAGAAGTCAGCGAAGGAGAGAGTGGGGAACTGCTCCTTGATTGGCTCCAGGAGCCGGAGGGCGATGTCGAGGCCGTTGTTGGCGCCGTGAGCGAGCTCCGCCGCGAACCTTATCGTCCCGAACGGGCCTCCCGTTTTCGTGCTCACGTCGTACGTCCCCGCCGAGTGCCAACTGAGATAGAAGGTCCCCACACCCCGACACGATGGTGATCGATTCTTATGCAAGAGAGAACAGAAAGAGAAGAAGAGAAGAGAACGATGCGTACGCAAGGCGGAGCATGATAGGGGCGCAGTTCTTCTCGGCGATGAGGCCACGGAGCTTCCTCCTGGCCTTCTCCACCGCCTTCTGGTACTCCTCGCTCACCGCCGGGTACGACTTCCCCATCGCCGTCGTCCACTTCCCCGAATTCTGGTCTTCGTCTAGTCGTCGTCAGTGGCAACCCGGCGGGGCCTCCGCATTTATAGTGCGCGCCGGGTCTCTGGGGAGGAGCGGACGGATGGATCTACACCACGGCTTATGATGTGATACCGACGGCAACGATTGCGTCCTCGGGGCGTGTTTGCTTCATGCTGCCCCACGACGTTGTCTGAAGTCGCGCAACAAATCAAACGGACAGGCGCCATGGTGGCGACGGTGGGACCCTACCAGGTGTGAACGCGGCGGTGGGGCAGAAAGATTCCGTTTCAGGACTTCACCAATTGGTCGCGAAAGGGCCCCACCGGCGGCAGTGCGGTAATTATAAACGCAATATGACCATGCTTTCCTTGCTCCATTAGTTTTGCCAGCCACCGATCCCGGGGGCGATTTCGTAAAATGGACCCCTAACTGAAGCTTTTTTAAGCTTAAGACCCTCGTAAGTTGTGTTCTCTTTTCACTTAAGCCCCCCAAACAGGACCTTAGTGACCCAAATCCCATTAAATCAGTCCCCAATCGCCTAATCCGGTTCGATTTGACCATTTGGGGGCTGACGTGGCCATAACATTATAATGTTTCTCATGCCGGGGGCGGATTATGTACTGGTGTATTTCGTGGACCCCATGGGTGGACGACTCTCAATTAGTTTTGGGTCCCTATCGTTAGGCAAGTAGGTCCCACTTGGGTGTTTATTTCTTTCCGCACACAGCAGGCGCTTTCCATGCCCTCCCTTTCCACATATAGCCAACAGGCCCGAGTCGGCCCAACAATGTGTCGGATCGATTTGATCTGATCCGATCCGATCAGGTATGACAAGCTTTAAAAAATAAGACAAAGTTTATATAAGTCTACATTATCCTGCTGTAATTAAATATTATTAATTAGTTATCTTTAATATTTTGATTATTATATCTTTAATATATAAAAATAAAACATTTAACTCTGTTTTTCCTCGTGTCTTCAACTCTTTTGACGAAAATCCCGTATATGTTCAATGGTAAATCGAAGTGAGACAGAGTCAAGCTCGATGATAAATTCTCTTTTTTTTTTTGTCAATCATAAGGAAAAACGAAGTTAAACATTTCAATTTCATAAGTATAAAAAATTTGATATAATTAATAAAAGTATAGAATATACAGATAACTAATTACAGTAAATAATTTATGATAACCTTAGAGAAATCTGTGTTTGCTTGAAATAATGCTAGGCATAATGGGCCGGGCTCATGGGCCTTCGATATGTTGTAATTTCAATCAAACGCAAAATTTGTAAGAAAATTGCATCATTTCCCACGAAATATTCTAATGATTACTTAAGCTTGTCTTCCTCTGATATAATAATCGGGGAGTTATTAAAATATTTGGTCGGTGAGGCTAAATATTAGACAAAGAAAAGGGCAGCGTGTGATAGGTCGAACGGCACGTATCACGAGGAAAAAGGCTTTGCATGCATGGACAGGATGCGCCCACGTCGCCAACCTCGGACGTCTCCGCCAATAATACACCCATAAAAGCGTAATCCACTTGCTAATGAGACGGATTAAATATATATATTAATTGGAACATGATTGCAAGAGGAAATGGCCAACCCATCAAATTACATGAGAAGAAATGGGGGGAGGCAGCTCGGGCGAATCTTATTGATCTTTTAATCGATGATGGCAATGGCCCCCACCGGTTTATTTGCCATCGAGTGTGGCAATGGGAAAACAGAGGAAGTATTATGGTCGAGTTGTCATTAAAGTATCTTTCCCCCACCGGTTTAATCTTGTCATTAAGCATCACACATACATACAATAATAATAATCCTCCATACATAAAACAATTATTATCATCAATTTGGATTTCGGAGACAATTCAATTATGTCTCCATTCTAAATCTTATCTTGATATGATAATCATTTAATAACACAAACTTTAAGGAGATATAATCAGAAATGAAACCTTTAAATTGAACAATAACTAAAGTCGAGAGATGAGAGAGAAGAATCTAATCATAATCGAAGAATTTTGTATTTATAACCAAAGGTTTCGATAAAAATAAGAGAGAAAAGGACTTATGTGGTTGTCCTCTCTACGTGAAATATTCTTTCAACCATTTTTGATTTAAAGATTATTTTATATTTTATTATATATTGACGTGATAGATATGATGGATTGACATTCGCATGTCGAGTTTTGATTAATCTCGTGTGTGTATATATATATATTATTCATTGTATTTTGTAACACTTAGGTAAGAGAAAGTTGTGACAACTATAATGGACCATTATAATTGCTATTTTTTTTTGTCTTTTATATGTTTTCCTATTATTGATTAGTTTTCTTTATAAATTGTGCACAAACAAACGACTGAGATTTGCTATCGTGATGACTAAGATTTTTGTTGGGAAAGGCACATCATAATAATATTGGACGCATAGTATGCTTGCCATGGGTTCGCATCGATCACCAACGGTGAGCTGTTCGATGGAACCCTTATTTTGGACCAACTGTGAAGAGGGCGTGATGATATCCAATGGAGACAAACTTGAAGCTATCACACTATTATCTGCACAAATCCAAAATCAAAATTAAAACTCCACAAAATTATCCTTTTTTTTTTCCCCCTTTAAATCCCGACAACTTCACAAGTTAATATCTTATGCTTATTAATATGTTGTTATATCTATTAATTATTTATAAACTGAATAATTATGAACTATTATAGGAAGATATTTTTGAGATCCTAATTAACGTGATGTGATTCAAACTCATATGCACAAGATTATCCAAGATGTATTCGAGGAGAAAATGTCGAGCTCCCGTGTCACCTGCATAGAGATAAAGTCAAGTAAGGTTTTTCGACTCAAATATTCTGGTGTCTATGATAGTAATCCAAGATAAGTGTGTGTCGATGTGAGTGTAAAATAGTGATCTATTTTTTTACTGTGCTAAAAATAAGCTTTTATATATAATCGTATAAGGATAACAACCCTCTGTTATCTCTAATCTCGTTTGAACTTTTCTCTATAACAAAGAGAGAGATAACTTACCACTGTTTACCTTAGACTATTATCTAACATGCACATATTAGTAGGGGCAATCTATATCTCTTCTTCCAACCAAAACATTACGCTTTTCTATTAATATGTTATAATATATATTAATTAGTTATTAACTAAAGAATTATGAACAAAAGTTTAACTCTTAATTCGATCATTAATACATGTAAAATAAGTATTTTTTTTCATATTTATTCCCTTCAAATGTAAGATTGGCATGCATATTTTACTGCAAAAACCAAAATCTCACATATATATGTTTAGAACATAAATATTTAAATTCTAATGAACATTAATTTGCTTTATATCTTTCATTTCAATAATTAAGGTATTTATATATTACATATTCTTAAATTCAAAGTCGATATTGACGATCGTGTTAATAGTGGTTAATCTGATTGATTTTTTAATGAATATCAATGGCATATATTATTATTCTAAATAATAATAATAATAGAAAGATATGATGTGATTTATATTTTTAACATTTTTCATCCTCGTCTATGTACAACTTAAATTGATGGAAGATATATTTTTATGCGGGATTTGAACTGAACACAATTATTTTTCTCGATATTATATTAAAATTTGATGACCCATAACTTTTTAATGAGATGTAGTATAACATTTAAGATGAATTCTCAAATTTTCTTTTTACTTTTACTAACAGGTGTTTTCATTTTTTTTTATTTTTCTATGGATCGATTTATCTAATAAATCGATTCAATTATAATATTTTTATATTATATTATGATATATTTTTAATATAATATATTTTTTTATGATATATAATTTCGAATGGTATCCTCCGGGTGGTACGTACTGGTCCGACGACATATCGGTATGGACCGCTCACTACCAACGGACCGTGCTATAATGTTACAGTAATACATTGTAGTAGTGCTACGATAAAAGAAAATAGCTCGGTAAATCCTGATGTACCATTCTGTACGTCATGATATACCACTCGATACGTCGGTATCGTACCGTATCGAATCAACCTCGAAATATCGATACGATAACATATCTTGATTTTTAATATTATATTATAATATTTTTTAAATATTACTAAAATTATCATAACATAGCATAAAAATAATATAACTCGACAGATTGGCTATCAGTTCACAGAAAAGATAGAGAAAAAAATAGATGATCAGATATTCTTCAGGTATTGAGAAAAAAATACAGCTAAAAAATTGTAGAAATAGAGGCACTTAAAGGGGAAAAGACAATGATTTAGATAGATGAATCCAATCAAGAAACATGAACGTCATCCGCACTTTGGTACTTGGCATTTGTTTAGGGTTTATATGTGGAGGAAGAAAGGACAAGTCGTACCCACAGCCAAAGGAGTATAATACAAACAGGCGGCCCACGTGGCGCCCTCCGATTGGGTCGGCCCCGCCCGATGCGTCGGTGGAAGACGACGTCCGCCGGGTCGGACCACCGGTTGCAGCCGGTCGACACCGGGAACCCCCGCGACACCGGAGAGGGAAAAGGCATTCATTCATACGAGGGAGAGAGAGAGGGGGTAGGAGGAGGGCGGGGCCCACGGGTGGGTGGTTTCGTGTGGGGGGCCGACTTCTTCCCCGCCTTTCTTGGGGCCCCTTTGGCTTTTGTCTATCTTCTCTGCATCACCGTTGATTGGCCTCTCGTGTCCCCATCTGTCCACCAGCGGTCGGGCGTCGAAATGAGCGGTCCAGATTTTATCTGCTTTGAGCTGGTTTTTTATTTTATTTTTCTTTTTTTATTTGAGTTTGTGTGATAATTATGTGAAAAAATAATATAAATAGCAACTAAGGTCGTGTTGAACTTAAATGTGCCCGATATGAGATGATCCAATTCGATAGAGGTTTATGATCTTATCATACTTCAGAATCATAATATAAATTGATGAAACTTATGATAAGGGTATTATTTAAAATATTTTTTTATGCTTAAGATTGAAATAAAAAAATACTTTAGATGATTTGAAACTAAAAAAAAAGAGTTTAAAATAATATTCTAGAGAAAAAAAAATTAGATAACTTATATTACGTTCAAAAAGGTTCGTTTTTATGATATTAAGATGATAACCACATGTGTAAAGAAATTATTTTTTATTCAAAAAATATTTTATATTTAGATTTAAATTAGAATGATTACCCAACTTATCATGTTCTGAGTTTTTATAGACATTCTTACCAAATTAGGAGTAGGATATTGTTATACATTCTTTCAATTATTAATTAAACCACCTATAGCTTATAATCATGATAATATTTGTTTGTTCGAATAAAAATATATATAACTATAAATACTACAAATTAGGAAAAATACAAAGTCCAAATAGTCTTTTTTTTATATCCTTCCTAGTCTTATGCTTTCAAGTGCACTCTTGTCTCCATCTACCATCCTAACCCATCCCCATCTCATTTCATCCACTACAATAAGAAGATGTGTTTTGTACCAGTGGACAACTGAGATGATGTGATGTGAGAGGATCCTCCCCCCTTAGTTTTCATATGGATTAATGTGCATTAGTTTTCATATCGAATTGGTGAATCGTGATGCACTTTGGGATCTTCTAATCTCTGGACATCGACCGTTCATCTTTAGCGTCCACTTCTGAGGTGGATTTATGCGATGAAATTATAACCATTGAAACGACTCCATAAAGCATGACAACGCCATTCATATTTTTAGGTTTCCATCCTCTCGCATGATGTCAAGGAAAGTTCGCCTATACTGTTCTTGATACTAATTAATTAATTATAATGATTCGAACCATTCAATATAACAACATGATGTTAATGATTGAGTCACATTTGAAATTAACCAAATATAAAATATTAAAAAAAGTTCACTTATATCATGAAATATTTTATCTAGCTTAATCAATTATAAAAACTCAATTACTATTTATTTCAAATATCCACTCTATTACTTAAATATTTTAATTCATTATATTTTCCTCTATAAACCTTCCAATATATATATATATATGCAAACGTTGAAAGGACACTTTGAAAATGAAATATCCTTTGACTTCCAAATTTTGGCAAATATTTTAAACAAATAAGTAATTTAAAGGTGGCTTCTTCATCTGCACGCTTCTGTGTCACCCACGCATTTCCCAAAACGGAAACTTCGTAGACCAACACATTAATCTACTCTTAAGACGTAAAAATAAAAGATAAATATAAATATAATATAATAAAAATATACTCTTACGACGTTAAACTAATCGAGTTGCCTTTTGAGGACGTGTCATCTTCCGCGCGTCCTACAGTCCTATTCCCTGTTTGGAATGCGGCATCTTCCAGCACACGGAACTAATCCAACATGATTACATCGGGCGGCGAGGATGAATCCGCAGTGGAAACCCCGAAGACCGGCTGCTCCCGGTCGTCCGGTGCCACTCACTCCCTCTATTTGTAGCACAAGAGGCTTCTTTGGTAGTCGTGCCTCTCGAGGCTGTTCCTCTCCTCTCACGGATCCTCCCTCCCCGCCGCTCAACGCCGACGATCTGTCCACCGTCGCCGTCTCTCCGTAATCCTTCGTGAGGTGCTTGTTCTTAGTTTATACTTGTTATTTGTCTCTGCTGTGTTATTGAGCTCCGGATTCGATTCGATGTCGAGCGTTTTACCCTCCATTTTTGTTCCTTGGGTGAGGAAAGATCGAGGTGAGAAGGCGGGACGATGGAAGCGGAGAGGTTGGTCTCCGAGCAGAGATCGCAGTTTCTCCGTTAGATGCGATGGAGAGTCGCCTCTCTATCTCTCTCTCTCTGCCATTCTCTCTTACTTCTGTCATTGTCGATCGGAAGTTGTGCATCAACCTCGTTTTCTTTCGTTTCCCTCTTCTCTTCCTCTCGTTTCCCTTGCTGGGGATGAGATCGCTGGTCTGGTCTGTGCGAGATGGAATAGCAGGCAGCTGTAGTGGTGGTGACGCCACCATCGTGCCTGTGCGGCCATCTGTGTTGCTGATCTTAGTTGATGGTGATTCGTGTACTTATTGAGATTGCTTCCCTTGTAGATGTGATATATACTGTGGGATGGTGAAGCACATAGTTATTATAGTTGCGGGGTGGCAATCTTAATCGTGGAAGGAGATAGATGTTCCGTAAGAACGACTCGGCCCTATCCTGCTTCTATCTCTACCTGCTCTGGCTATTCTTCCTGAAATAGCAAGGAATCCAAACCCTAAGCTTGGGAGAGTGTGCGAATACGGATCTGATCGTGAAAGGTTGTCTTTCTCAAAATGTTCGACCTCAACCTGGCGTCTTCCGGCGAGTCGACGGCTCTCGAAGATAAGCTTGTCCCCGAGAGTTCTGGCGCCAGGCAGATGGACGACTCCGGGATTACGAATTCGTCTGTCCTCAACACTGAGGGTTCTGTGGATATGGCCGATGAAGATTCTTGCTCGACCCTTCCTGCGATGGCCTTCGAATTCGGTATCTTGAAATGCTCTACCTCGGCAGAGGGAGAGAATGAAGCCGAAGAGGGGATTGGAGGGCATGCGAGTGGTGTCCTGGAACAACCTGGACTCATCACCAGGCAGCTCTTTCCGTCGGCAACGATGCTGATTCCGGACGGTTTCCAACTGCCGGTGGTGGCTTCGTCCCCGTCTTCATCGAGGCTGCCTTGGATGAATCTTACGTTTTGCCAAACTGATTCACAATCAGAATTGAGAATTCTGCAGCAACAGCAGCAAAAGCAGGTGAAAAAGAGTCGCAGGGGGCCACGGTCCCGCAGCTCTCAGTACCGGGGAGTTACGTTCTACCGCAGGACAGGAAGATGGGAGTCTCACATCTGGTTAACATTTTGGTCTTTTGAATCTTATTTCTTCTCCCCTGATTCAGGTAAACTGACATTAGTTGCTTCTCTTGGGCAGGGATTGCGGGAAGCAAGTGTATTTGGGTAAGCTTTTATGCAAAATTTCGTTTGATCATTCATATTTCTGTTGGATCGGACATTTTCTGATTGTTGTTTTGAATTTGACATTTGGACATTAATAGGAGGTTTTGACACTGCTCATGCTGCCGCAAGGTAAGAATTATTTTTTCATCTGATTTTAATCCTTTTCTCCTATGGCTTTCACCTATTTAGGCAAAGAATATATAAGCAGCAATATTCTACTTTCAGGGCATATGACCGAGCTGCAATCAAGTTTCGTGGTGTGGATGCTGATATCAATTTCAATCTCAGCGACTATGAGGAAGATCTGAAACAGGTAACTAAAAGTAGAGGCAAAAGAATAGTTCGGTTCATTATAATTTTGGATGGCAATTCATTTCTTTTCGGTTTACCCCTTCTTAGATGAGGAATCTATCAAAAGAAGAATTTGTGCATATACTTCGTCGCCAGAGTACTGGTTTTTCAAGAGGAAGCTCAAAATACAGAGGAGTGACCCTTCACAAGTGTGGTCGCTGGGAAGCCCGCATGGGGCAGTTCCTTGGCAAGAAGTAAGAATATTGTGCCAGTGTCCTTGACTCGTGGGCTTTGGTTTGAGGATCAGGATGGGTTCTTGCTCTTGCACATTGTTTCTTAGTTCTCGATTTGTGTCTTGATGCCTAAGACCAAAAGTTCTATCATTTGCACAAAGCAACATAGCTGATATCGGTAGAGATACCGGGAAATCATTGATTTGTTATAGTCTTGGTTCACAGATTGCACAAGAAACATGATCTTAACTAGAACACAATTTATGCTGTGCAGGTACATATATCTTGGGTTATTCGACAGCGAAATAGAAGCTGCAAGGTCCCGAGCATGGATTTCTTCATCGTCGATGATGCTCTAATTATTAATTTTAATTTCATCAGGGTTCGGTACCAACACCAATTTCCTGTTTCTCTTTGTTGTTCTTCTACATCAGGGCTTATGACAAGGCAGCAATAAAGTATAATGGAAGGGATGCTGTTACCAATTTTGAGCCAAGTACCTATGAAGGAGAACTACTTTTTGAGGGTGATACTGAAGGTGCAGTTCGCATATTTGAGTCTCTCTCTAACATCAAATTCAAGATGTGTTGTTCTGAATCAATTGCATGGTTCTTTGAGAAAAATTCATTATCTGAGTTCAAATATTTGATTGGTTGCAGGTCATGATGTGGATCTGAGTTTGAGGATTTCTCAATCTGTCGTCCAAGGTCCAAAGGGATATCAAAATTCATCAAATAGCCAGTTTGAAGCTTCTGATTGCAACATAGCAAAGGTAATCAGTTTGCTATATTCTGATATTTTGTTATTCCTTCTCACAATTGGACTTATTGCCAGTCTGTTCCTTCCTGAATAATCCCCTGATAGACCTTGTTTTATTGGAAGCATTGGCATGCCATATTTTCCTTTGGTGGTCGATTTCTTTTTCCTGCAATGTCATGCATACTCTAATGTGTACTTGTTCCCAGTCCCACTTGATGATTCCATGGATTGTGTTGTTTATGACATGTCCGAGTCCATTTCTACTTTATTGTGCCTCACTGCTAACTATTAGTTTTGGACTCGAAAGAAATTACACATTGACCAACTGTAAGAATTCTTCTTTACTCTAGTACTATACTGCTGCTCAGATATATACACTACGTGCCTCAACCGTGCCCCCTGAGCACTCTCATGCCTAGACATTTCGATCTAATGCGTTTTGCCATGATCGTCTCTCGGAAAATGCTACGTTAAGTTGCAAATTATTTTGACAGAACAAATTTCCACTGTGATTGGCCCACTCGTGGAAATACCAATTTTACAAACACCTGATTTGGTTGGTCCTTTGGGAATAATTTATGGCAAATTTGATTTAGATGGTCTGCTGTCACTCCGTTGGATACTTGTTCTTGCTGATATGGTCTCATAATACACTGTTTGATTGGTTTATCATGCCCAGTTGATCTCACAGTAGTTTCTGTCTGCGAATGCAGGAGAACGAGAGTGAGAAGAGGACCGCGGTTGGCTTGCAAGCTCTCCCAATCTGGAATTGGCCGACAAATGGACATTGTCCATTTCCACTGTTCTCTTCTGCAGCATCATCAGGATTCTCACCTACCACAGTGACAGCTGCTCTTCCTCCCCTGAAGCCACCACCTCCAACAACCCATCATGTTCATTTCTCTCCCCGAGCTACATCAAATTACCGTTTCATGAATCCAAATCAGTAACACTCCAACGAGGTGCCAAAATGTTACACACATGAACCATCTTTAGGGCAGGGCAGGTCCCGGGGGGGGGGGGGGGGGGGCGGTAGCCAGTCGCAAAGAAGTAATACTTGGTGAACCATCGTGTGGTCTACCCCTGTATCATTTTATCGTGTTCTTCAGGTTCTTTCCTCTTCACCGCGGAGCTAGAACAGTCGAACTTTATTCTGGGCTTTCGGTCATCCCTTCGTCTACATGTACTGTTCATGATCCGCACTAGTAAGTTCTTCTGAAACCGTGAAATGTGGTTCAAAATCATTTTGACTGTCTTGTTTCTTTGGTGAGTATACATTTAAGTGCAACAACGGATCCTTCATGTGGATATATAGTACATCTCCGGATCTGTTGCTAATCTCCTTAGTGTTGATAGCCCAATCACCCGGTCTCTCATTTGCTTCCGTGCGTGACTCTTGAGAATGATGCGATAAGGAGAAGACGGGTAGTGGTTGACTTGCTGTCTCAATGAAGGTAGGCTTGGCGACGCATGAATCACGTGTACGCTCCTCCACCAAGTCTTCTTATTTGCCCATCAAATGCTACGACTTTTGACTTCAAATTTTCGAGCCTGGAATGATTCAGGTCGCGAGTCCCAAGTTTTCTGATAATATCTCCTATCCATAAAACAGAGTGCAAACGTCTAACGAGTCTAAATTAAGATCATATCTTATTATTGTCAGAGTGAAAGAAGGACCACCTCAGTCTGACCAGACCACGCTTATAAAAAAAGAATATTTTTTTTGAATAATATTAAACAATATTGTAGTTATTATCGTTAATTATTTCAGATTGACCACTTCTCAGATCAGCGTATACAAAAACAATTTCCATAGACCGTCTCGTGGCAAGAGCCGATCTTGTTGGTCTCTTACCACTCTTCATCTATAGTTAGGCAGTCTTGGGGGCGAAGGCCGAAACTGTGGGCGATAGGCTTTTGCGTATACAATATGTCGCCAGGTTTCCTTCTCTGTAACCTCAGCTGCAGCTGCAGCTGCAGAGGATAGATTGCATGATCTTCTTTCAAGGAATCAGAAGGTTGCCGTCGCATTCACACATGAATTCGCTTCTGTCACCTTCTTAGCCATCGTCTTCTTCATAACCCTCATTTTCCTCCTCCTTTCCCAGTTGGAAGCAAGCAAAGAGTGAGTATATATTCTCAGAAACCAGAATGATGGACAGCGGAGGAAGAGCAAAAGACACAGTAGCATAGCAGCTGAGCTGACTCTATTCCAGTGACAGAGACCTAATTTACAGAGCTCCACTCATCTAACGCAAACACTCATCTTGGTTTGTTCCTATATTACAGAGCAGGAGGAAGCAGCTACGGGAATCGAAGGAGTTCCAATCAGATGGAAGGAACAGATGCCAAGCAACCATACAAGTATTAGCCAGATGCACGAGGACGCGTCGATGTCGCAGCTCCGCCTTCCCGTTCACCGCTCCCAGATATGCTCCCCTTCCAGGTGGAGTAGATGGCGGAGGTCATGGAAGACCATGAATCCTTCAGTTCCGTAGCGATCTGCTTCTTGATGCTGCCCCTTGGTGGTGGGCACAAGTTCCCTCTTCCCCTCCTCTCCTGCTTGCCGGCGTCTTGGTGGCTCTTCATCTCTTCCGTAACAGAGAGAGAGAGAGAGAGAGAGAGAGAGAGTGCGCGTTGTCGCTGGAGCGATAGGCAACCGGATATATAGAGGTGTGTCAGAAGAGTAGCCGACATACGTCATTGAAACGTGTGTTAGTATTAGGAAAAATATTGTTAAAAAAATAAATTATGATAAAATTATGATTTTTAAATTATAAAAATTATGATATTATCATAAATCTATCAATAATAAAGATAATGATCTCAACATGATTTGATGAAATAATTTAGATAAATATTTTATATTATAAAAATATATAATTATCATAATATCTTTTTGTGGATATAAATTCATACCTAATATTCATAAAAATTCAACCTAGTCATTTCTTCTAAGAGCATAGTTACATTAAGAATTTTTTTTTTTACTATTGTTGCTTTATCTCGATTGAAGATAGCATTATAATTTTTATTAAGCTTTATGATCTAACCCGCCTCTCTTTTTGGTAAGTTGCTTGTGTATTTTCTTTTTCACTTTTTGATGTGATCGATAATAGCATTATAATTAGTCACTCATCTCATATCATCTCCAATATTTTTAGTTTTGAAAATACTATTATCTTCATTGATGTTAGAGTCCAAACTCGTCTTAAGCTCACATCAACAAACTATATATCTTAGTATACTTAATTTTATTCTCTTTTAATCGGTTATGATCTTACGAGTTATATAGATGACATAATAACTTATCCTCCATAAACGATTAAAGAGAATATTCTTAAAGTTATTAATTATAAATATACTTTTTTTTTTAATCCGTGAAGATATTTTTCTTCATAGTATTATCATTATCTCTCTCCTCAAATCATTCTATATGTAATCTCTATAAAATCCTCTTAATGCAAATGCAACAAAATGTACTAGTTTTTATTTTCTACATCCTCTCTCATAAGTAATTCGCCTCTTATACTTATATATTCTATTGTTTAAGATCTTTCATGAATACGGATTTAAGTACTATCTTATTTTTATTTATCATTTCATAAATTACATGCGGTTATTTCCTATGAAGCAAAATTCAGTTTATTGTTGAAAATTTCTTTTAACGATCCATTATTTCATTTTACTCTGATACCGGTGGTCAAATTCGAAAGCTTCGTAATTTTTTTGAAACCAATAAAATTTCTCATTTTCTCACCCCTCCACATACTCCTGAACATAATAGGACAATGAAATATCGTCATTAGCATATCGTCCAAACTAGCCTCATACTCCTTACTCAAGTTTTCTTATATTTTTAATTTTGATCTCATGCATTTATCACATCAATTTACCTTATTAATCGCATACTTACTCTAATTCTTAATATGGTTTCATCATTTGAAAACTTATTTGGATCCACTTATAACTATAGTAAATTATATATTTATAGGCGTCTATATTATCAATGGTTAAAACTTTACACCTATGTCTAGAAGCCCAATCAAAATCATTCGTTTTTCTTGGATATTCTACTAATCAAAGTATCTTTAAATGTTTTGATTCATCAACCAAAAGAATTTTTATTTCTCCTCATGTTGATTGTGGAATTTATTTTTCTTATATAAATTACTTGACTCTTTTTTACCCAGATTAACTTCCAATAACTTTATTGATTGGGTTCTTAAATTCATGAGCTATCTCATATTACCATTCCCGTTTAGGTTAAAACATCAATCCCACCCACCAATCCGAATACTTTATTTATTCAAATCCCATCATGTTCTTTCTCAATGGTGCATAATGAATAGGAGGTTACCTCATCTATCTAGCTGCCTTACGAGAGTATTACACATCAAAAGAATTCACAATAATATTTAGTTTTAATATCCTCTATTTTAAGTTTTTCTAATCCAATATGTTCTAGAGATGTCATTGACTATATACCAATTCATTTAATAGTTACTAGATCCAAAAATCAAGTCTTTAAACTAAATAAATATTTCTATATTTTTCTTAAAAAAATCTCAAAATTTTATTTCTATCTTCTATTGTTAACCAAGCTGTAAAAATTCCTAAATGATGAGCAGCAATATATAAAAAAAATATAATTTTTTATTATGAAATGATATATGAGACTTAGTCTTATCCCATCTAAGTCAAAACCTTGTAAGGTGCAAATGATAGATCCATTAATATGTATAAAGCAAGATTTGTTATAAAGGAATTTTATTAACATTTAGGTCTTGAGTATCATAACACATTTAGCCCGAAGCCAACAATAATTCATATTATTTTATGTTTTTTCTTGTCTAATAGTTAGGGACTTTGATAGTTTGATGTGAATAATATATTTCTTCATGATCATATTTTTGAGGATATATTTATAAGGTAACCTCATAGCTTTATTGATCACAATCTTCCTCAATATGTCTATGAATTGTGCAAGGCTCTTTGTGGTCTCAAGCAAGTCCCTTTAGCTTGGTATCATGAATTTCAAACATATCTATTCTCAGTTAGATTTTATAATTCTCAATATGATAATTCGTTATTCATTTATTCTTATGAAGACATAATTATATTTTTTTTACTAGTTTATGGATGACTTAATTATTATTAGTAATAAATCAATAATAATTAATTAGTTTATTTAGTAGCTTAGAAATAATTAATCTCGGGTTCTTATGCTATTTTCTTAGTGTTTAAGTTATCCACATGACAAATAATATATATATATTTTCAACAGAAGTATATTCATGACTTTTTATCGCACCAAAATATTTGAAGCAAACTATATCAATCTCTACGAGTGTTCCTTTACCCTATATGATAGTGCTAATCTAAGTGATGTCATTAAGTATTATCAAGTTGTTGACAATCTACAATATTTGACATTCACTCGTCCGAACATTACATATATAATAAATAAATTATCTTAATTTATGAATAAGCTTACATTCAATAATTGGACAACTGTTAAATATTTTCTTTGATACTTAAAAGGCAATATTGATTATAGCTTATTTCTTTGAAAGAACTATCCTCTATTGCTTCATGCATTTTCGAATATGGATCGTATATATAATAAGGATGACAAAACATTTACTAGTGCTTCAATCATGTTTCTTGATCACATTCGAATCTCTTGGAGTTCCAAAAAATATCTCTGTTGCAACATCTTCTATAGAGGCTGAATATCAAGTGGTTGCTTCTATAACTTCTGAACTATGTTTGATTCAATCGTTGCTATATGAATTATTTATTATAATCTTTAATCCTTCATATATATATATATATATATATATATATATTGTGATAATATCGAAGTAATATATCTATGCGCTAATCGTATATTTTACTCTCGAACGAAGCACATAGCTATCAATCATTACTATGTTCATAGCAAAATTCACAATAGCAAGTTGTGTGTCTCTCATGTTTCATCTGATGTTCAATTTGTAGATTCTGTTACTAAGTCTTTGTCTCGTTAGTAATTCTTTCTACTTCAATCTAAGATCGATGTCTCTGATGGGAACACAATTTTATGAGGGTATATTAAAAGAGATATTATTGATAAAATAAATAATAATAAGTTCATCATGATCCTCTCAATATTAACATATTTCTAAATTATAAAAATTATGATAACATATTATCATGATTCTATCAATAATGAATATCATGATTTTAACATGATCTCCTATGTTATAAAATAATTTAGACAAATATTTTATATTTATTATTAATTAAAAATATACATAAATTCATATTCACTATCAATAAAAATTTGAAGTTAATCATATTCTTAGTTATTTAATACGATAAGATACCAAGATGTCTTCTTTAATGATCTTCTTTGAGTTTGGATCTCCAAACTCCAAACTCCAAACTCCACGGCATCTGTGAGTTGAATCCTCCTTTCAACTGAAGACATAACATAAGCACATCGAGCACTAAACAACGTGATCAATGTTTGGTGGAATACAACCGAGCAGAGCTTAGAGACACCGAATTGACGCATGTGTTCGATGAAATGCCTGCCCGATTCAATGTCAAGTCGACCACTACAGACACGGAAGACTTGGGAATCGAGAAAGGGTGTGCAAATTTGGGTCCCAGTGTCTCATCCCAACCCCACCACCGATGCAGGAAGACTGCCGAAGCCATCAATCTTCACATACGCTTTTGTGAGTGCAGGTAGCTGTGTCGGGGATGAAACTTTGGGACGCCATAGATCTCTGAAGGGGTTGCTTCCTTCGTCTCTAAGGCTGGAATGGATAATTTGCATGACTGGAGTAAGAGTCCAAGAGGAAGATGACAAGACAACCTAAAAGATCATGGGAGCAAAGCAGAGTGCGACGGCCTCTCTAAGGCTGCCAATGGTTTCCGAGCCACCAAACCTTGGGGCAGTGCCCATGAACAGCAGAAAAAAGTAGTGTGGATTGCATACGGATTGCTTTGGATTCCTAACCAAAAGTATAAGGTGTTGAAATAGTAATATAAAGGGAAGAAGTAGGCATCATCTGAGGTCATTCCCATGGCGTCAGCAGCTGCCGACGAAGTACCTCATGATCAGACTCATAGATTATGTTTCGAAATATTAAATTAAAATTTATGATTAGATACAAATTTTTATCGTAATTCAAATAATAATCTTGAGCTTATCTTCTACAAATAAAATAGTCATGTAATTTACACATAATTTAGAGTAGAGAGTAGAGGTTAGGTAAAGTCAAAAAGAGTTTCACATCCATCTATTTATTCCATATGAAACTCGGCTTTCATTTATCTCACTCGATTAGAGAGAGAGAGAGTATGGGTCGTAACGAAGATTAATTGATTGGATGCTTCCCCCTCATTAATAGGAGGCTTTGGTCATTAGTTTCCTGATGATAAAAGAAAGAGCTTAATATAACCAAAATAGGGGATCACAAGCTAAATTTTGAGTCATTTGTATTTTAAATCTCATCTTTGTGTATAAATTAACTATCACATAATTGAGATGATTTTTAGGATATCTAAAAGATTATAAGTTATCATAATACTTAGTCCTATGATTTATTGTTGTCTATCATTTTTTCTAATTTTTTTAATATCAAATAAATAATTCATTCTTTCTTACTGCAACCTCTGTTTCAATGCTACATTATTAGCTAAGTTTGTGGTGATCAATTGTCTTTGGTGTTGTTGTCAAGAACTTTGGAATATATAATTGGGTTTCATCTCCATAACCACATACTCTGAATGAAGACAGAAAAATAGACGCTCAATGCAACCAGCAGCATATAATAGTTGAGCTAATTTGTCAAAGGGAGCACCACAGTATCTAATGCAAATCTCTGTTAGAGATGGGACTTTTTCTTTGTTTGAATGAAGTCTTCGTTTCATCGTCAGACACAGTTGCTTCTCTTCGAAACCAAAAGCACATTTAATTCCGGACAGCAATTATGAGTCGCTTGAGTTGGAGAGAGGGAAGTCAAGGAAACAGGGATGAGATTTGGAGAGGAAAGAACACAGGCGAATTGCAGAAAGAACTCGACAGATTTCATTCATTTACACAAGCAAAAAGAGTTTACATCGAAAACATGACATCGACTCTTATAATTAGAGTCGAATGATCAAAAGGGGTGGTGATCTAAACCACACCAAAAAAAGGATCGCAATCCGACTCGCAGATGCTCCCCTCTTCCGCTCCATCTCTTTCCTCTTTCCTGCAGAGCTCGGACGAGCACCTGAAGCTGTACACAGGAGGCGAAGAGCCTTCTGGTACCGCTAACCATCCTCGAAGCTCGAAGTATAGCCGCTCAGCGTCGGCGTGGCGTCGGCAGTGGAGCCATCGCCGCCTTGTTTGGGCTTCTCCCCGTTCGTGAAGGCCTTCGGCATGACTGCCCGGAGTAGGCCTCCGAAGATCCTGGCTTTAACCTGGCCTCGCTTCGGCAGAGGCCTTCCCTTCCTCTTGTTCTCAGGGACTTGGTACTCCATTGCTCACGAGACCAGTAGCAGATGGGAGGGCGTGGAGATGGTGTCGATGGAGAGACGCCCGAGCTGTGGTGACGGTATATATAGCGGTGGCAATGGAGGATTTAGCTTCCTTGCAGCGCACGGTTACAGTGAGGAAGCTTTGAATGGTTCAACAGAGGACCTCCAAGAGTGAGTCAACTGATGACCTGAGAGGCGCATGTGAGAATTCGGTGCCTGTGGATCACCGAGGTCGATGCGATGCGTTCACACGTGAGACCGGTAACTCTCGTCCTGGATTACGCTGCTGACTGTAGATTTCCAGAATCCAGGAAGCTTTGACATGATACGTAGTTCTTACATCGCGTGCGTCATCCGTACCAGATCAATCTGCATTAGAACCCAAGTAAGCAGAGTGTTTTCGTGAGGACGGATCGAGCTTCGTCGGCCTCGGAATGCCTGTCGATGATGTACGGCAGTGCGCTTCTCAGCTTCTTTCTTTTTTGATGGTGAGATAAGCGGATAAAGTCCACCAAGTCGATAGATGATTGATGTATGGTTTTGGAAGCAAAATTGGACACGAGCTTTTCAATTCTTCTTATTGTGATGATATTTTGACCATATTAAATGAATTCATTATTGTACACATATATATATTATATATATATATATATTCATATCATCCAGTTTGATTCCATGTTTTCTGTGCATATATATATATATATATATATATATTCACTGGCTGCTTGTCTCTGAGGAGGAGTTCAAACTTGCATGGATGGATGTGTTCCTTGATCTCAAGCTGTCTGTCCAGCATTTTGACATCAACATCAGTTGCATGGCTGGTTACCTCGGCAGAAGCTCCAAGAAACCATGGAAGAGCACAGGAGAGGGTGAAGCAGAGCGCACATGCGAGAGGATAAGAAGTAAAAGGTTAGGCAGCATTGACCGGTTCTTGTCTGTTGAACAAGAGAATCCGAATCCGAAGCTATCAATTGCTTGTCCCCCCCGATGCGATCTCCATGGGCTCCACCGGCCGCATTAGGGGAGCAGGAAAGACAAAGAACACAAGTAAAGATTAGATGACTGCACTTCGTTTTCCGGTTGGAAGAAGAAGAAGAAGAAGAAGAAAAAGATTGCAAGACGACCGGACTTACTTTTCTGACGGCACTGCAGACAGAAGAAGAAGACAGCTCATCGCGTTGAACGATTGACGATTGTTTTGTCAGATCCGTGACGTGGAAGCTCTCTACTCTCAGTCGGTGTACTGCGGCTTGGTCAACAATGTGCATTCTTTGGAACAACTCATGGCCGATTTAATCCATAGGGAGGACATCTAATTTGATTCATAAAACTGTATACATCTGGTACAATTGATTTCAATTTGACAGTCATACATGCAAAAGAACATATTTGACCAACAGAAGGATAAGCTTTGACCAAGTACAATCTAGATTTCTTGAAGAACTCCACATGAAAAACATGGAAGTTCAAATCCAATCATCTAAGATACAAGAGATATTCTTAATCAAAGATCCAAAAATTCCACCCCAGGAAAAAGAATTATTGCTGGGGTAGTAAAGTTTTGGATATTTTGGGAGACAAATTAATGAAGACATTATTTATAAACAATGGAGTTAAAAGTACAACAATTTAAGGTTAAAAGAAATGAAAGACTAACATTGCTTTACATATTATTAGTAGTGTGAGGTATAAAAGAAGATTTGAGAAAACATTAAGACAAACGATAATACACAGAAAAAAGATTTATGCAGTCCATTCTAAATAATTAGGAGATTACAATACTTTAACCCTGCTATCAAATTAAGTTCAATAGCTTCTACCTTTTGCTTCAATGCGACAACCAATCAACCATAGCATTCATCATATGCTGTTTAAAGTAGGTATTGTGCTAGAGACGAACAAACCGGCCATTTGGAACAAATAGAGTTGAAAGATTGCAAGAAAAGAAAAGAATAATCGAGTCTCACATGATATAAATGAAGTTCACGTGCATTCAAATGCAATCTAACTGAACCATAGGACTGGTTGAAAGTGTCAACAGAATGTGGGCCCCGAAGATAAATACCACAAGGTTTTATATACATAAGGTAGAAACTCTGTAATCAATTACCTTAAATTAAGTATCCGGAAATGGTACGAGTTCATGCTTTACGATCATCTTGGTACCCACCATGCTTGAATGTTACCCACTGCTGGTTTCTGCAGGCATGTAAAGGAATATAATCAAACAAAATTAAATACACATCAGTTTCCTAGATAAATTGAGAGTTGCTCGGTACAGGTGGAAATCTTCAGGTATATCTATAACTAGCAATCCTTTACAAGGTCAATGGCAGGCAACAAAAAAGGCCAAGACTAACATCATCGAAATACACTAGATAGAAGATCAAGCCTGTACCACTCAGAAAATATAGATGGCATGTCATACAGTCTTTCAGACATTAATAATTTCACTATTTATATACTTCTTTGGTTCAAAAATAATAAATCTTTTAACTGATTAATGTTCTTTTTTTTTTCTTTTGGAGATTGATGTTCATATTAAGACAATAAAAGATGTGTTACAACAAATGAATGGCAACATAATTAACTTAGTATCGATAAGGTCTTATCAAGATACCATATAATGAACTCACATTTAACGTTGATAATTTTAGCATAGCATGAGAAATATTATATCATTGCGTCTGGCTAGTGGACATTCACTAGTGTTGATAAGGTAATCTTGACTAGGGAGTAGGGATACCTACTTTTAATGCAGTAATTGAACCTTAGCCTACTTTATCACACTAGAATATAATCTTTTATCTTCATTTAATGAATATCCGTCATTTGATACAAACACCTTATTTCCAATTATTAAACTATGATGCATAATTTTTTTTTCAAATTGATATAATGTATTCAGAAAGAATTTAATACGATCAATTTCTCAGGTTTACCGATAAATACCATATTCTTATCCATGAACATGTCATATGCAAATTACATTTAGAAATAATTATTCACAACTGGTTGCTAAAAGATCTGAGACTTCGTTATATGGTGTATCATTGTCATTTGGTTCACTTATGAATAGACAATAAAACACAGCCAGTCAATTTCACCACTCTAGATGATACACTACTTATAAGGCTACAGTCCACACAACCTTGTCATTAGGCTGAAAAGAACATTACTTTTAGACTATATCTCAATACCAACTTAAATGCTTAACTCCACACAACTATTCAAGTCTCAGAATTTCAATCTACTGTCATTTTCATTTCGAGGTCATAGTTCCAAGTCTAGCGGCACAGATGGAGTTAGACCTGCCCGTTATGTGGTTAATCATGAGTTCTCTGTTCTATCTCTCTGAATTTTCAGAGTATGTCAGGGATTTGCATGTTTTCTAAGTTTAAGTCTAGATATTACCCTGCAAAATCTAAAATATTTACATGTATGCCATTGCAGTTAATCTCCTCACTATTATTTAAGTGTTAGTTGAAATTGTAATTGACATTTACCTTCTAAAAGCTATTATAATAACCAAGGGTATTTTAGGTATTTTATATTATTTAAATTAAAACTAGCTATTGGTACTGATAGGGACAGTGGTAAACTTAGGAAAGCATATTCTATCTATACTGTAGAATTATTCCCTTGGGCCCAGCCTACTATAAAGCCACCAATTTTTTATTACCAAGGTCAGTTACTGTTTACCCATGATTCTACTTTCCACTCGGTCCTAACTTGTGTGTCGGAGAGACAAGGTTGGGCACCCCACCCATCTCTAGTCTTCGTGCAAGTTGACGCCTCAGCGGACACCCGAGATACCCCTTGGCCATTCTTGAACTCTTGCGCATGCGTCCAATTCAAGCTGACGGAGACATCACTGGCAATCACACCATTGGGTAGCTACAAGTAATGGTTGACATGAGTCTTCCTGATGGATGTTAACAGGAGGGCATATGAGAATGGTCTCAATATTTGGGGGGCATATATACTTGTATTATAATTGCAAGGGCAAATACACTATTTCCAAACCCTGCAAGGACAGATATGCAAGGAACCCCAACAAAAAACAGCATCCTATATTGAATCCGATCAAGTATTAGACTTGGATCTGTCAGTTTGATGGGTTAAAATGACAACCTGATCCTCACCATCCTTCAGCTTACCACTAACAGTCTATTAAAAAAGTATTACATTATACAAGAGAATCATGCCTTCTACCCTTTTGGTTATCTCATCTTTATTTACTTAAAGAGGGTTGGCATCCCAATCTCATTTCAGCCAATTCCATGAAAGAGGATGAGAATATCAATCCAAATGCATTTACATTTATTTGAATTGAAATATTTGGTAGGATCTACCTTTTCAGAAGTGCATTTACTCATATGAAAGCTAAACTTATTCTAAATGTTAAGAACATAGGATCCTGCTTTCCGAAGAAAAAAAAGATAAAAGTAAACTAATGCAGCTAGATGAGTTATAAGAACAACCATTAGGGCCATCCTAGACTTGTTCATATCGAGCTTTGGAAGCGATATGGTGTAAAACCAAAGGTCTTTGAGTTAAGTGCCCAAGACATCAATCAATTGGATCACACACATTCTACTGAAAATCCATCTAATTGCTAGTATCATACTCAAACTATTTGCAGTGATGAACATTGCAAATAGTGCATTCATGCATATACCTCAAAACCTAACATTGCCTGATCTAGAGAACTGCAAATATAGTTAAAATCCCTTAATAAACACAGTCAAAAACTTATTTTCCACAAAGACTCTAACAATGAGCGATGTCCAAATCTTTGCAATACAAAAAAGGCACAAGCTTTATTAAATCCAACATCTAACTTCCCAATTGAAGAAAGTAATATAATCCAGATAGAATGCAAGGAAATGTCTTACCAGAAGACAAGTTCATAGCCAATCCCTCTGCTGTATCTTGAGGGGCAAATACACCTCAGTGAGATACTGGAAGCCGAATGAACTGAGCGCCTGTATCTCAGCCTTTTGCCTTGTCTTCACCATCATATCGAGCTCCTTGACCCACCCACCATTCCTCTTCACGAAGTCCTCCTCCAACAAGTCTTTCCCAGCCTTGACGTCCTGCTCCGTCATGGGTAGACGGCACTGCTCCGGTACCCTGTACTTGTCCAGATCACTCGGTCGGACACCCAGCCATTTGATGTCCGGCGTCGTCAAGTTTGAACTGTCGTAAGACATGTTCTTTGATCCACACATGTACACGGAGAGGATCTTGAGGCCGTAGGGATCACTGTCGACCAGCGCGAGGACCGGCAGCTTGAGCTCGGTCTTCATCCGCCTAAGGAAGAGCCTGGTGGCCACATCCGGTTGGCCCTTGGCTGTGACGATGATGCAGGGGAACCTGTTGTAGAAGCGGTCCTCGGCCAGCCGCATGAAGGCGGCGTCCTTCTCCACGAGGAGGATGAAGAGGGCATCGCTCTCGAGGTTGCCGACGCGGTCGATGTTTGGAGGGATGGCCTTCCCGCCGATGCCCATCTTGGTGCAGTCAATGCGATCACCGTCATCGGTGAAGACAAGGCGGCCGACGACGACGCCCTTCTCGGAGGCAACGACGTGGAGGGAGGATCGCGTGCAACCGAGCATGCAGGAGACGTCGTCGAGGACGGCGTCGGACTGGGACTGGTCCTGGAAGAGCTTGACGTCGGTGTAGAAGAGATCGCGCTTGGTGACGTGGATGTCGCGACGAAGGACGAGGTAGACGAGAGAGAGGACCCTAGCAGTAATGGTGGCCTTGCGGACGGTGGAGAGGCTGGCGAAGGGGCGGGAGGAGGACTTGTCGCGGAGGACGATGCGGTCCAGCTCGGGGACGTAGAGCTGGTTGGAGGCGGCGCGGGAGGGAACATCGAAGGAGAAGCCGCGGCCAGCGAGAATGGAGCGGGCCATCGCAAGGACGGCGCGCTCGATGGCGAGCTGCACGGAGGCGGCGTCGCAGTCGGAGACCTCGCGGCAGGCGGCAGAGAGGCTCAGGTCTGAGAGGGTGAGGGCCTTGGAGGACGAGGCGGCCGACTGGGCAGCATCATACATCTCGCGGACAGAGGCGAGGATCTCGGCGTCGGGCTTCAGCAACTTCCGCAGCCCTTGGGCGTGGGAGTCCGGCCGCCGCAACTTCTTCGAGGCTGCGGAGGCCGCCGGGGGGCCCGCTTCGGTGCGGCGTCGCTTCTTCTCCGACATCGGGCGAGGAGGAGCGAGACGGAGAGCGGCGGTAGGTAAGAAGTCGAAGAAGAACGGCAAGTGGTTGTTTCCTCTCTGCATTCTAGGGCTTCGTTGGGAAGGCATTGGGCCGGGCTTCATTCAATGGCCATGGAAACTGTAATGGGTGAAAGAATTGGGCTGTCCCTAATTATTTGGGATTCGGGGGCTCTGAATTAGATGGAATGAAAAAATATTTGCAAGAAGAGTTCCACATATGACAGCTATTGGAGGATAAGACCTGTCTACTTTGTCCGTCCGCACTATGAGTTCCACATGTGACAGCTATAGGGGGATAAGACCTGTCTACTTTGACAGCTATAGATTGTCCTCTCGTTATTTATTTCATGGGACATTCTTTTTTATTTTATCTGATATAAAATGATACTTTCGATACAGATCAGATTTTTTACTATTTTAGTGTATTTATTATTTTTTATCTTTCATCACGAGACTTACTTCAGTATTGTAGAGGTCGGATCGAAAAATCCATATACAACCTAGATCATTATGTATGTCATCTCTAAAGCATACGAGTGCATCAAATGCCTTCACGTCACCTCGTCCTTCGTGTGCACGCAAACTCGAATCATGTCAAGTTGATTAGGACATCATCAATATTTTTACTTAATATTTTGACACTAAAAGAAGGACTCATGTCGTATGAGTGTCAGCGCGCTGACCTATTGAACAAGCGTTTTATCGAATAGAGTCCACCCTTGAGCTACTACAATACTTTTACTTAAGAAGAGCAACATCTATCATTTTTGAATCTTGAAGCTTCCACCTTGGCGTAAACGTTGCTGAGGTACTGGTGTTTATTTAATGACTTAGGTCTCTCACCTCTATGGACAACCTTGACCCACATACTCATCCTCGTTGAGATCTTCCTGGACCTCACTCAACAAGTATAGACATTGATAGGGGTGATACCGACTATCACCCTGCTCCTATCTCAATTGGTCCAATTAGTGATACCTCCAACCTTGGCACAATCTATAGTACCATTAACGCCCGTCGAGATTTCTGATCGATGTGACATTGACCTCCCAAGAATGCTCGAGGCCCATTGAGCTCCCAATAAAGAGGGCAATCTAATCCTCAACCATGCGGTTAAATAGACCTCACCATCCTAAGTTTGTCTTACCTGAGTCTAAGGCACAATCTGTAGACTTTATGGGGGACACCATTTGAGCATAATTATAACATATGGATTAGTGCCTAGAGGATACGTGTTGGGAGTTTCTACTATACAAGGGGGAAGACTTGATTAACCTCATGTCGGGTCGATCATCATTTATTTAGAAGATCCAAGAGGGGTTTAATGGTGCCAACTTTTGATTCCTGACCTTAGAGGCATTTGATGGTTATGTCGACTTGATCAAGCACATCAAAGCTTTCCACGCTCAAATGTCCTTGTACAACACATCGAAGGCACTAATGTGTTGCACTTACCCGACCATATTACAAAATTCAATATGAGAGTGGTACACTTATTTGAAGCCACTTTCGATTAGCTCATTCAGCCAACTAGCAAAAAAGTTCAAACAACTCTTTATTAGGAATGTACGATCTTAGCATTCAACAACAACCATCCTGAGACTATGCTAAGGGAAGGAAGAGAGACTCTCGGACTTCGTTGCCTAATTCGCATACGAGATCCAAGGCATAGTCGATACCCACTCGTCGCTCCTCATATAGACCTTTATTGGATTAGATCATCCCGACTTTTTCAATTGCTAATAAAGAGATCCCCAACGATAGTACCCAAGATACTTTAGAGGGTCAATCAATACATCATCGTTAAGGTAAAAGTCTTAGATAAGCATAAGAAATTATGCAAAAGGTCGAAGCAAAAATAGCCACCACTTGAATATCTCACTCGAGGGATGCCCAAGGAAGTAGAGGCATCAAAAATTTGCCTCTAACCATTAGCAAACCATTAATGATAAAATAGACAAATGGTTATGTACTGGATTTATTTTCGAGGTGTAATAACTCTAGTGGCTCGCTAATGTTTTACTTATAAAAAATCTAATAAAAACTGATGGATATGTGGTACCAAGTCATGCTTTTCAGATTGACGAATGTTGGAATGACCTACTCAAGGATAATGAACAAAATGTTCAAGCATCGGATATAAGAGAAATGTTGGGGACTATATGGATGACATGATCGAGAAAAGCAAGATGGCTGATACGCTCTTACAAAGGTGAGCATCAAAAAATGACCAATATTCTCTCCTTGGGAGTGTGCATTTCAATGGCACTGATATGTCCCTATAGGGGTGAGCATTATAAAACGTTCGATGCGCTTTTATCGGGAGTGAGCATCTCAACCACAAGGCACGTCTCGAGAGATCACCATCTTTGTCAAACTCCTAAGGTGCGTAGGTTGGCTAAGCCCAACCCTTAGTTAAGCAAGTTAGCCAATGCCTTATGTGGCCAACCTAGTGCAATTTGCATGATGCAAATTGATCGAATGAGATCTTATCACATGATGGAGGCATCTCGAGCAAAAACTAGATCCAATCGAGAGCTATGGCATCCCGAGTAGAACAAGATTTCATTGCTCGAGGTGAGTTCATCAGCCATGCTACGATAAGTCAAGTGAAATTATTTTCCCAATGGTGGGGATCACGCTTCCTTCACTTAAAGCGGGTCTCTTGGTAGATCGATCAAGCGACCAAAACCTAATCTTCTAGGTCAGCATGCAACAAGGCAGATTGAGCGACGATGAGGCCTTCGCATCACCTCCACTATAGAGTGATAACCTTTTAAATTATGACTAACCCATGGCCCAATGTGGTATCTCATAGTATCCCTACTGTAAATCGAGCGATGACATGCGCAAAATGATGTTAAAGTGCTACAGATTGCTTCGATAACAACCATACCCTGCCACGACCTTCTTCGAGCATCTCCAAAGAATAGGATCGGAGTCTTGCCCAATCTAGAAAAGGATAAGTTCAATAATGACCAGCTTCCACCTCCCGATGCAACTATCATGACTCTTTTGTTACAATAGTAGGTCAGCCATATCCACTATTGCCCGAAATGTGCATCTCGATAACTCCTATTGCCACCCCCGTTGAACCATACAAGGCCCTCTACTACTTTAATGTATGTCACGTGGCCTTTGTCGTCGCCTAGATTGGGAACCACACAAAGTGAACGGATCGATCACAACTTTCATGTCGCCTGATGATGAGGGAAAATATCATTATTGTTTGGTCAGCTCGAAGTCATCTGGACTCATATGTACATGGTTATCTAAGGTACTTCCGAGGTGGAAACATTAAGGTGACTCTGAGATGGAAACACTAAGCTTCCGATGTGCCATCTACATGAATATTGAGGTCAAGAGAAATATTTTTGAGGGAGAATACTAAGTGAAATATTTTTTGGATTCTTGTCCATGTTGACAAGAGGGTAAAAGGTGACCTAGACTTCATATGACGATTATGTGTTAAATGATGATTAACTAACAATGTATTCCCTATCATTATTGAGGCTTTTATAAGAGGGGCTCGAAGTGTGGCATTTAGTTTATCAAATATGATAGCATTCGAGATTTACTCTTCGCGGGTTTGGTTTTTTCGACTCATGTACCTCGAGAACATTTTATCTTATGCTTCCATCATAATATATTTGTTTTTATGCGGGTCAGGGTTTTTCGACTCACGTGTTTCGAGCGTATTTTACTATGCACTTCTATTGTAACAGATTTTTTATTGGGGTCAGATTTTTTTTTACTCATGTGCCATGAGTATTTTTTACCTTATGCCTTTTCCATGGCAGATTTCCTTTCATACGGGTCAAGTTTTCCTGCCTCACACATCTTGGGCATATTTGACCTTGCACCTCCATTGTGGTTGTAAATTTCTCTTTACATGAATCGGGTTTTCTCGACAATATATTCTGTATCATTTGTCCCCCATTCTCGAAGGTTTGTTTTGGGACTCTTGCGAGAGGGAGTTGAAATATGATATTTAGCTCATTTGATGTTAGAGCGTTCATGATTTCCTCTTCACGGGTTGGGTTTTTCCAATTCACATGTCTTAGACACATTTTGCCCTATGGCAGATTTCTTCTCATGCGGGTCAAGTTTTTTTGACTCGTGCATTATGGATGCATTTTAACCTATGCTTTTGTCATGGTAGATTTTTTATGCAGGTTGATTTTTTCTGATTCATATGCATCGAACATATTTTACTTTATGCCTCTGTTGTAACATATTACTTTACATGAGTTGATTTTTAACTCACGCATCTTAGGCATATTTTGTCCTATGCCTTGAGCACATTTGACCTTGTACATTTACTGTGGTGGATTTCTCTTTACACGGGTCAGGTTTTCTTAATTCATGCACCTCGGGCATATTTGGTCTCGTGTCTCTATTATGACAAATTTCTCTTATATGGGTTGGGTTTTTCCGACTGATGTGCCTTGAGCATATTTGGCTTTTATACTTTTATTGTGGCATATTTTTCTTTACATGAGTAGAGTTTTTTCGACTTATGTGCCTCGAGCATGTTTAGCTTTGCACCTTCGCCATGGTATATTTCTTTTTATGTGGGTTAGGCACATTTGGTTTTATGCCTCTACCATGATGAATTTCTCTTCATGTAGGTCAAGTTTTTTTAACTCATGTGCTTTGGGTATATTTGGCCTTGTGCCTCTATCGTTGCAGATTTTGATGCTTTTCGAGTCATTCATCCGATGCTTTTTGAGTCCTTCATCGGTGCTTTTCAAATCCTTCATCCGACACTCTTCAAGTCCTTCATCTGACACTTTTTTGTGTCCATCATTTGGTGCTTTTCGGAATTATTCCAAAGGGACACTTGTCTTAATTATAAGAGAAGAGAGACGACTACTCCCTTATAAATCCCCCCTTACTATGTAGGTGAGGCTCATTCCTCCATTTGAGCTTCTAGAGGCTCATTTCTCCATTTGAGCTTCCAGAGTCTTCTTATAAGCCTTCTATACTTCATTTTTGTTTCCTACATGACAAATCGATCCTCGAGTCCCTCATAGTCACATCGTCGATCTTACAATAGATCGATCTTTCACCATCATGCTCTTCCACCTACTTAGGTTGGAATATCTCATCTTTCTTATATATAAGCTCCTCCCGATCTATTGGCCGCCAAACAATCGAGGACCTTGACCTCCCTTTCATTAAGGGAGATAATTCCAATGAACCCAAAAGTTCTTCGGAACTTAGAATCCATAAAAAACTCATATGACTATGATCCAATGGTGAGTCCATAAAGTATTCCGACCACATTGGATCACCTCCACCAACATTTGGCTGATGCTGAATATCATCATCAGACACGTCACATTTGACCCACGTTGAATAGACTAAGGACGGTAGTGTTGATCTATCATATGGTGATGAAGTTTTCGATAAAAATTGACATTGGAGAATTGAAAAACAATTCGAGGGAGTCATGCCGGTGTTACCTTATAATGATCTTCCTATCGAAGAAAACATAATTCGAGATGTCGCCTATGGATCCATGAAATTTTGCCAAGTCCTACTTGCATCTAGAGTCGGTGGAATAATCGATTTAGACACTTCGTATATAAAATTTGTTCCAATTAAATTATTAAAATTGGGTTGTTACGGAGAATGACAAGATTTACACAATTTAAAAATAACCTTACAAATCTATATTATGACGTGATCAATAAATATTCTATTAATATTTAAGTTAATAAAAATTTAAATTTATCATAATTTCTTTTACTTGGTTATATGACTCATTTAAAGGGAATCTTTCATAGTGAATCAAGATAGCCATTAAACAAAGAGAAGAGTTAATTTGATGTTAAACAGTCGATCATGCTGTCATGCTTTGAATAGTCGGATGTTGCGTCTACTAGTATACTACTTCATGTTGACCGTCGCGGCGGCAGTCATGCGTTGCCATCACGCTAGCGTATCGTCAGCATCGACGTAGGATGAGTCTTTGACCGACATGCGGAACGATGAGATGCACGATTAGATACAACGAGCCTCGAAAAATTCAAGGATTTTTCTTTCGAATTTACCAGTAATGCATACGCAAAATATTTACCTTAAATAATTCTACTCGGTTATTGGTGAAATTTCGCTGAAATCTACTGTTAGTAGTGATAGAAGACTATAATGGAGGCACCGGCAAAGAAGCGGAGAAAGCATTCGACGCACGGCTCCGGTCAATGCCATCAGCATCCTCGAGAATGGCATTCCTCATCGCGCTCCTTACCTCGAGGTAGATGATAAATATTTTTTCCAGATATTGATGTGTTGGTCGCTAAAGTTTGATTTTTTTTAGTATTGTCGTTTGACTTGATGCCTCAATCCACCAATTCTTCCTTCTCCTCCACTGTGGAAGCGTCGCCGCCCATCATCTCCGTAACATGGACGGCATCCAAAGTCGATGGCAGTCACGTGCTCCGTCTCCTTCCGACAGTGTCGCGGTGCCACTATATATTACGTCCAAGGGAGGTGGGGAGCTCAGGCGAGTCTCACCTCGAAGTATCTCGGAGATCCTCCCATGGCCGCCGTAGCGCCCAGCAAGTAATCCCTTCTCTTTCCTTCCGGATTTTTCTCTTGTTCTTCATCTGATGCGCTTTGTTTCTTTCCTTCTTCCTTCCCCCTTTTTGTAGATTGGCGTCTCTTCCCCCCAGTCTCACTGCCGCATCGGAGCCACCTGCCCTCTTCGATGGCACCACCAGGCATCCAAACTCGTCTCTTTCTTTTGATTTATGCTGAAAGATTCGATTTTTATTCCTCGGTTGATGAAATCCTCTTTATTTTGGGGTTGGTCTGTATTCCAGGTTGTACGTAGCGTACGTTTGCCCATTTGCACAGCGTCCCTGGATTGCTAGAAATTACAAGGTACTAATTTGCTGAGCCTGCAATATCTTGTAGCTGAAGCTTGATCCTTCAAGAAGTCGTTTGATCTACTTTTATGTGGGTGCAGGGATTGCAGGAAAAGATCGAATTGGTACCTGTTGATCTACTCAACAGGCCAGCATGGTACAAGGACAAACTCTACTCTGCAAACAAGGTCTTGAGAGATTCTGCTCCTGGCAATTGTCTTTGGCTTTTTTGATGTTAGAATTGACTCTGAATCCTTCTCTGAGAGTTCAATAGGTACCTTCTTTGGAGCATAATAATGAGGTCAGGGGAGAGAGTCTGGACTTGATAAAGTATATTGATGCTCATTTTGAAGGGCCTGCACTGAAACCTGATGTAAGAAAAAACTATATATCTTGCTTAATCAGTAGGTTTTTAGCCAAAAGGTATGTATATATCTTCTTGTCCTGTTGTTGCTGGAAACTCAACAGGATCCTGCAAAGCAGCAGTTTGCAGAAGAGTTATTGTCATACAGTGATTCCTTCAATATGGTTATGTTTAAAGCAACGGCCGCTAAGGGGGATGTCAGTGGTGAACTTGGTGAGCAAGGATCTCTCTATGGTTTTCAGAATATCACTTCAATCAAATGATTTGGTCTGCTTAATCCTTTTGTCTCAGATGCTGCCTATGACAAAATAGAGGATGCTCTATCAAAGTTCAGTGATGGGCCTTTCTTCCTTGGGCAATTCAGCCTGGTAAGTCAGCAGTTGGATCTTGTTCTTCATCATTGTATGACTGAGAATCAATCTTAGTTTTATTCATTCAGTGGAATTAATGTTTCTTCTTGGCGTTGGAGCTGTTTTGACTACATTTCTTCTTTCATTTGTTGTTTCTACTGGTTAATGTTTGGGATTTGCTTCAAAGCAAAATAATCCACAAATTATGTTTCCTGTGTTCCTTCAGCAAGCACATAGATCATTCTCTGCTGCTCTCAGAATCATAGTTCTAATACGTTGTTCATGACAAAAGGTCTAAAGTCAACCATTACACTCCCATCTGATTCCTTTTTCTGGTTGCTGGATAAGTCCAGCATTCTACTAATTGTGAATCACTCTAAAGAGAATAGCAATTCCGATAACTACTGTTGGCAAATATCCATCTTGGAAACCTTTTCTTTGTTATTTTGTTCATTTCTAGAATGCATGCAAATTTGTAATTTTGTTTCCTTTCTTTGTTTACGACAAGGTTTTATTTCTGTTCTTGTATTTATGAATTCTAAATTTGAATTACTTCTTATATATTTTAGGTGGACATTGCATATGCTCCATTTGTTGAGAGGTTCCAGACTCTCTTGCTGGATGTGAAGAACTATGACATCCTCAAGGGCAGACCCAAACTGGCATTGTGGATTGAGGTACTACCATGTCCCTCGTAAAGATTCAATGCCTGTAGAGTTGGATCTATCTTTCTCCTTATCATTCTGTATTTGTTGTTTTAGGAGCTGAACAAGATCGAGGCTTACGCGCAAACCCGAATTGATCCTCAAGAGCTGATGTCCGCAACCAAGAAACGGTTTGGGGTGATGTCCTTTAACCGATCTCAATTTGCTTAATCCAGTTGAATTTTTACCCTAGTTGACTTTTCTTTTCTTACCTGTTTTACCAGTTGGCATGAAGAATATGTCTTCCAGTTTCAGATCAAGCAGTAATAAAACCATCAGCAGCCTTTGTAATAAAAATGGGACTTTCTTGTGTTAATGTTGTGTTACCAATGTGTGATTGACATCCATGTATTCTTCAAACATTTCAAAGCAATCAAGATTGTGCTTATGTGCTTCTATCTTCCCTACTTAGCTATATGGAAAGGCACAGACACACAATTGGAGATGTTAAAGTGATAACTATGCATTGTCATATTAACAGATCAAGCAGTATTAAAACCATCAGCAGCCTTTGTAATAAAAATGAGAGTTTCTTGTGTTAATGCTGTGTTACCAATGTGTGATTGACATCCATGTATTCTTCAAACATTTCAAAGCAATCAAGATTGTGATATGTGCTTCTATCTTCTCCACTTGGCTATATGGAATGGCACAGACACAATTGGAGATGTTAAAGTGATAACTATGCATTGGCATATTAACAGAGGCAACCAAACAATGTCTGTCATGAAACAGAGAATAACAATGCAGAGAGAAGAAATGTCTCTCGACTAGAAGTTGCTTCTTGTTCACATCTAGACTGATGAATGCTTGTTCTCAGTGTTCTCTAACTCATCTGCATAAACCTGTCCGTACTCCCCTTTAGGATCATCCTCGTCAAAGTAATCAGCTCTGGCATTGAGCGTCAACATTTGGCAGATGAGCCAAAAGAGAGCAGCATCGAGGGCAAGAAAAGCAGCACCGCCGAAGAGACCAGTCTTCGCTGTCGGGCAGAGGTATTCGAGATCGTGATGAACGTTGCGAGAACGATGAAGGCCTTCGGTGATGGTTGCCCACATCAACATCACCAGAGCCAAAGTTGTAACAGCCCTGACATCAGTGTACTCCAACATCATTACTTATGACCGAAATGCACGTATGATGCAGTTTACTTTGGGATCAACCAAGAAAAAAGTTATATGTGGATGACATAAACTGCAACGAGAAGGAGATGAAGGAAGCTTACTCTGCAATGATGAAGAAGACGAACAATGTAGAGTTCTGGAACAAACTAGAGGTTGGAACAGACTTGCCTTTGTATGGGAAGTAAACTGCGACGTGTCCTACAATAGCAGAAAGCAGGAGTGACACAATAGCTAGAGATCCAAATGCAATTACCGGATCACTTGGGTACTTGCAGACAACAACATCCTTTCCTATGATTGGAGTTCCTTGTGCAGGCTGTAAAAACATGAAAAGATTTAATGAGGTCTAAGAACAGGAGTGAGAAGACAAAACATGAACATATGGACACACAAATGCATGCATTTGATCCATCAGAGAGATGATGCTTCCTCTTTGGATGGCAAATAATAGGGGTGTAAACAACAGTTCATAGATTGGCTACATCACATGGAAACAAAGGACTCGACTGTGTGCATGGCTTGTCAGTTGTTACTTGGTTTGCTGAAGACCAAGCATGGCATGTCATCCATCAACATTTATCATATGCTAAGTGCCAAATGTTGTTACAATGTTTTCACTAAAATAAAAGTCAATGACATACTTTGCTTTGTCCAACAAAAGGAATCCAATGTATTTTTTCATACAATGACCAAGGCATCAACGAAAAGGTAATAAGAGCACAAAGAACAATTCCATAATAGAACAAAAACTTCAAGAAACATAAAGAATAGCATCATATTAAGGAATCCCAAGACAAAGCCTGTAACAAAGAGTATATTACAAGATAGATCAAGAAAGAAAAAACTAGTCGAAAAGGCAGCAGTTTACAAAAGCAGAAGCAAAACATCATTTTGCTACTTATATACCAACAAAAATCAGCTATACTCACCTATGATTGGCAAGCACTTGAGATCAAACATATTTAAACATAATCTGGGATTTCAATTAACCATATAAACAATTTGCATTAAAGAAAAGAAACTTGACATTTATGCAAAAGAAAATATGGGAAGAAACATCCTGTCATATAAAAGATGAAAATCCATACTCAGATCGCACTTATAAAGGATTCCTCAACATATGGTAAGATTTATGAGAGACCTTTTTGTTTTCTGCAAGTATGCCAAGTAAGAAAGACAGACACCCAAGAAAAGCCACACAAAGTGCAATTTTTGTGCTTTGATGTATTGTCATTGTTCTAGTCTTCAACGGTCCTGCACCAAAGAAGTAATAGGAGACAATTAGACCGAAGAACCACATTAGATTACAACTCTTATCCATGAAGCAAACATTCAAAATTTCCCTACAGTTAATATTAGTGGCATAAATGCGAGAATTAACCAAAGCAATGAGAGTTCATGATGCTCACGCATCATTATATCATTTTAATATAACCAGATTTAAGTTTAGGATGGCATATGTTTTGAAACTTCAGGATCTAATTAGTAAAGAAAGTGGATTCTTAACAGGCAACATCCCAATTGAATTGTTTCTTTTAGCACAATATTAGTGCTTATAATTCTCAGTCTCGATGATATTTCGAATGAGATATTATTATGACCTTCTGAAATCAATATTTAGAAATATACAACCTACAGTAGATTTATCGTGTGAGTGCGCAATGCATTAAAAGAGAGCAAGAATCATGACAATCATTACGATAGACTAAAACTGACATGAATTAAGAAGAAAATCACAAATGAAACTGAAAGTCCCTGATATTAATTTCATATATACTGAAAGGCAAAAACAGTCATATGGAAACAATGATTCATGTAACAAGGAGCACAAAACTTTTGTTTGAATTCGTCATTAGAATACTACCTTACCCAATCTAAACAAAAGGCACTTGAAGACAATGAAACACAAATCCCGGTTATCCAACTTCAGGATCCTCAATTTGAAGTGCAATATCCGGTAAAAAAGTGACCTTTAGCCCCAAAAATATTAGGGAGAAAGAAAAGGAGCATGCAGCATCCACAGATGAAACAGGATCAGATTACAAACGATCAGTGACAAAACATACAAGTACAAAATCCTTTATCTTCCCTATATTTAATTCGACTTGCACGAGTACCAAATCCAAAATCCTCCGATTGACAAAAAGACTGAACAAGATCACAATTTGACACTCTAGCAAAGCAAAAAAAGGTAGACAAGAGGTGATACAGAGTCCATAGAAGAACACGGTCTCCATACCTCTCGGATTCCTCGGCGAAGAAGAAGAGAGCTTTGGCTGGGCCGGCTACCCTACTCTCCCCTGCGCATAATATATTCCGATGAAGAGGTTGGTGTTTTCGTTAATAGAAATAGCAGCTGGATGTTTCCTTAAACGGCTACAATTAGCTGGTGGCTGCATCCCCTATTGGGGGGATCCTCTCCAACTCTCCCACCTAAAATTGCAAACATCCATCCATTGGCGATCGCTGGCGCCCACCACGGTGGACGATCGACATTTTAGTAAAGGACAGTTTGGTGTTCGCCAAGATTGGAGAGGATCCAAATAGTGAGGCATGGCCAAAGACAAGATTCCCGTCCAGTGTGACCTCCAAATCAACCACGATCGTCGGATCAAAAGCTCCATCGTCGAAGAAGGTATCCTGACCGTTCATTATAGCTGTCACGACCCCGTTTCTATTTCCGGCAATGGAATCCGGACGGATCCGCAGGCAGTGCATGCAATATTGGCGATCGACATGACGAGCATTTAGTTGCATGTTTCCATTCACGCACGCAGCTTTGAATTTATTACATATATATTTCCCTTCTAAACCCAAAAATTATTCCATTATATATATATATATATATATATATATACATTAAAAAATATTTGCATGGACATGAATTAGCCTTAATATCATAACCAAATGGAACACAAAATGAGGAGAAGTATCTTCCACCCAAGAAAGCAAGTCCATGGAAGCGTGTTGCTCTGATCTTTATCACGTGCGTGACTCGTGCCTGCAAAATAGTGTTCTTAGTCCGTGGCAGATACGCTCAAACGTCGTCGGACGGCGGCAGGTTCAGGTCCAACCACAGGCCCCTCCTCTTGCCGGGCTTCTTCTCCGTGAGGCCATGAGGCGCGCCGCCGGTGCAGTGCTGCCTCATGTGGCCGCCTAACGCCTGGCTGACGGCGAACTCGAGTCCCGAGACGGAGCAGGCGTGGCCGTGGCGGTCCTCCGCGAGCCTCGGCTTCTTGTGGCTCGCGCGGTGGCCTCCGAGGGCTTGGAAGGAGGGGAACTGACGGTGGCAGGTCCTGCACCAGAAAACCCGCACCGAAGACGCCCGCGACGGGACGCTGATGGTGCCCTCTCCGCCTCCGCCGCGAGTGAGGAGCGTCGGGACATCAGCTACGTTCATGCTCTCCATCTCTCCTTCCTCTCCGTCCCCAAATCTCTTCATATCTTCTACTACTATACCGCCACAGTATGGAAGAAGAGAAGCAAGGGCTTGGCATTTATAGGCTACCCAAAGTTCTTACTTGTGAAGTTGCCTTTCCGAAACAAGTCACTGAGAACAACTGATGATACTGTGGATCACCTGCAAGCGTCATGGAAAGATGCTAGAAGACCATGGAGAGATGTTTCTCGTGTTTGATGGTGACATCCTACCGATCCAAAACAGTGCAAGCAGATGGGCATGAGCTTGCGCTAGTTGTAGTACTGATAGTACCAACTTGCATAATCCAAGCATTTCTCTGGTGCTTGGTAGAGTCATATATCATTTCAATGGCCATCGTCACATAGTTGGATGAGCAGTATGTTTCTTCTACCCCGAAGCTTCCCTGTCTCTTACTTCCTGTTGGATAAGCTCCATTGCTTCCTTTCAGATATAAAGAAAACTAAAGGTAATCGTCAAATTGGTGAATTCCTTTAAGTTCCTCAAAGATTAGGTCATAGAGGTATCATTATCCTTTATTGGAAACTTGTATCATCTAAAAGATCGATCTGGTGGATACCTTTGTGTTCTAGACGTGCTGATCTCCACACTAACATGCACCAATTCACCAAGTTGTTTGCGGAGGAGACAAGAAGAGGAGTTCAAGTAGTGAAGTGCATGAGCACATAGGAACAACTGCTCTTCTTCTTTCTTGACGAGAGCTGGGATGATTCCTACACTCGTTGGCTTGTCCAGCTAATGAGATACTCCTGCCTACCTAATAGATCATATCTTATCTGTTGTCATCAGACGGAAAGGTTTCCATACCATAGATTGGTAAGAAAGCGATATGAACAGCATGCCGATCAAGGAACGAGAAACGCCAAAGGAATTGAGCAGAAGAGTTTTTGTACGAAGCTGGATCACGTATCTTGTGACTTCCAATCCTGTACCGAAGACAAGTTCCATTGCTTGAGCGTCTGCCACACCTTGTCTCTACAAGTGACCTTCCACACAATTGAGAGAGACAAATACAACCAATCAAGGGGTTCATAGATAAGAAAAAAGAAAACACAATTGACCTTCCACAACTCTGTATTCATTCCATATATATATATATACACACACACAAATGAATCGGACGGGTCAAGAAACCGGTTCTTGATTTATCCGGTCGGACCAACGAGTCCGAACCAGGACCGGTTTTGAAAACTGGGCCAGAATGAAGGGCCGAAAACGGGTTTCGGGAGTCGCATGCGGGTGAGCGGTGAGCCCAACCCGCAACGAGTAACACAGCCGAGCCGCGCCCGTTGCCGGGATCGGACCGAAAGCCCGAACTACTCGGACTGTTCATGTGGGAAGAAGGCACAAAACCCCGCCGCTCTCGTCGATCGCCGGCCTCCACGCTTCTTTAGTCGAATCGCTCTCGTCCCCCCCACTTCCTCCTCCTCTTCCACCACGTGCCCACTTCGAGTACTTCGCTGCCTCTTGATCCCCTAATCCCGCACCCCCAATCACATGATCCCGCCTCTCCTCCTCTCCACAATCCAGAAGGAAATAGTCGACGAAAAAGGAAGGCGATAGGAGCTGATTCGAAGTGGTGGTACTGTTGATCGCCTTCACCTCCCCCTTTTTCTTGAAGTGCTGGTTCCATTTGTGTCGTCGGGCGTTCGTTTCTTTGCCGAGGATATCGATTTTCGAGTCCGAGAAGAAGCTAGGAAATTTATAAGACGAAGACTTTCTTTGAGATCTTGGATGGGCAATGGCGGAACCCCTTTCAGCATCGATGAAGGGGAAGGAGAACAGGGTCTTGCAGTGCGCCTTCGCCGTCACCGGGATCATGAGCACCCTTCTTGTTTATGGTATCCTACAGGTGAATCATCATATTTGTAATAAACAGCGACTCTCTTTCCAATCCCTAACCACGATTCTTCTTTTTCTTTTTAACGATATTTGAATGTGTGTTAAGGGGAAAATTAGGTTCTTTGTGGTGAGTTCTGGTGGTGTCTTGTTATTTAGGTCAAGTTTCTTAAAAGTTGAATGGCCACAAACCATTTTCCAAGCCCTAACCATCGCCTTGTCTGGCTCTTCCTTTTTTATTTCTAACGCTATATGGATGTGTCTTAAGGGAAAAATAGAGTCTTTGTGGGGATCTCTGACGGTGTAATGGCCACCAACCCTTCCAAACTTTAACCATCCCCTTGTGGACAGTTCTTGAAATGACTCTTCTTTTTGTTCATAATGCTATTTGGTTTTTAAAAGTGAAAAAAGGTTCTTTGTGGTGAATTCTGATGGTGTCTTGTCATTTCGGTAAGTTTCTTGAAAAGTTGAGTGGCTACTTAGGTCAGTGTTTTTATCCATGATTTGACTTATGTTTAATTCAGACCTTGAGTTTGAATAATTGATTAGTCATTTTAGGTTTGCTCTGTTGTTTTTAATCCACATCGTGACATTTACCTTGACAGATTGGGTTCTTGGTCTATATTTGCTTCATCGTGTTTTTCTGGGTTCTTCCCCAGGTTTTTCTGTGGAGGCTGACCATAGACTGGCTATAATGGTCCAATGTTGTAATTTGATTCTTTTTCTTTGTCTTTTTGTTTCCCTTAACTGGTTGTTCTTTCAAATCATAAGATGATTTCAGTGAATGCATTTTAGCTTTGCACCCTATTATCCCTTGCAAATCTTCAGGGACTTCTTCTAAAAAGCACATTCCCTTTTACTGAACCAGGAAGTGATTCGCTTGATCAGATTTGGACAACAAAAATTATTTGTACATGATGATAGTTTGAGCAGAATGTATACTACTCTCAACATGTAGACACCCCATATTGGTGTGGCCAGTTTATGCGAGTTTTGTAGTTCTAGCTATGTCATCTGTAGCATTTAATGAGAATCTCTTTGCTCTATGTAATTAGCATGGCAGTTTACAGTTTTAAGGATATGAAAGTAATTAGCTGGAATATACTTGAATTTTTCTTGCTAGCTGTTCAATTCCTACCTGGCAGTATGCTGGTCACCTTGGAGGTATCTTGAGTTTGTATTCCTGACTGTCTCACTCTAGATTGCCTTTTTCTGCCAGGAGAAGATAATGAGGGTTCCCTATGGCATAAACAAAGAATACTTTAGATACTCACTGTTTCTTGTCTTTTGCAACCGCATTATGACATCTGCAGTATCTGCAGGTGTTTTACTAGTAAGTTTTAAAGGGTGCTTATTCTAATTTGATCTTCCAGAATCAATTAAGTTTGTAACTTCTTTTATGTTGTCCCATAGGCAAGTAAAAAGTCCTTGGATCCTGTAGCACCAATCTACAAGTATTGTGCAATATCTGTATCTAACATACTGACTACAACATGCCAGTATGAGGTAAGAATGGTTTATTCAGTGACTTAACCATCAATTTTTAGACTTACTACATGTATTTTTTTTTCTATCTATTTTCTTTTTTTTTAAGCCTTTGTTTTATAATCCTTCTAACATGAAGTAAGATTATTCCTGGTTCTTTCAGGCACTCAAGTATGTTAGTTTCCCTGTTCAGACCCTTGCAAAATGTGCAAAAATGATACCTGTCATGGTAAGTCTCTATCAAATTGGGAAATATGGATCATGTACTTGTTTTTAATGTTCAGTCTGTTTTGTTTCATGTATGCCCATTTTCATATGTCATAATATTTACATAATTTTAGTTTTGTTTGAGCCAATTATTGTTCATAGTGGTTCAGCTTTTCTATTAGTTCAATGTTATTAGAGGTAGCCATCCCATATGTCCCCAATTTAATCAATTTTAAGTATTCTTGAGAGCAGCAGGAAGGAGAATAGGCAGATGTTGAACTAAACCTGGGAGGTTGGGCGATGAAGATAACTAAGACTGCTGTATATCAATCTTTCTGTTACATAAGTTCTTTTTCATTTTTGATCTCTATGTTCTAGTTTTGCTAATTTGCTTCAAAATCATTCAACTTGAAAGTGATGTCTCTGTTGGAAAAGGCAAGTTGGAGGATGGTGCTTTGGCTTAAATTCAAATTCAAAATTTATGTATGATATTAAAAATTGACATTAATGTATATGATGCTCTCATTTATATGGATTAAGCTAGTTTCTTGTCAATTTGTTCTTGGTTAGTTCACCAGCAAATCCACAAGTTACTAGGATTCTTTTTGTATTCTTTTTTGCTTCTATTTGGACAGTATCTTTTAGGCTACAGAAAACTACTGAAGTCTGTGGGATTCTTCTTGTGATTTTTGTTACTTTGAGCTTTCAAGTTGAAGTTTAATGAAGTAGTACATAAAGAGCACATTTTTATTACAATTTTATCGAAGAACATCTCATCTGGGAATAACTTTCTTATCTTGGTGTTCATGACAATGGCATGCAAAAGGTCAGCCAATATCTGATAGGTGATAATAACAATTTAACTTTGATTTCTGATGTACAGAATCATCATTTGTTAGCATAGGTGTCATGTTAGTGATAAAGATGAAACTACAAACTATAAAGGTTTGCCTTTTGGTCCTTGTTCCTGTTAAGAAGTTAACAAGATGCAGTTAGTGCTTCAGGCATGCGTTTGATAGCAACACTTTATGGACCTTTTTCTTTTCTCCTTTCTGATAGAAACCCTCTTATTGCTTTAACAGAGTATCCTTTTACACCACTAGTTTCCTTAAATTTCACATGGAAACCATCACTGTCTCTTGCATTGAGTGATAGAAGATTCTGTTGCATTTATCACATGTTAGATCGGAAGAATTGTCCTCCAAGGGTCATTTGGTTTTATATATAACTTAATTAACTATTTTAATGTTTGACTATGGTTTTCTAGCTTTGCTGTTCTGCTGTTCGTCAACCTTTGTGGTTCTTGTACTGGTCTATTGAGTTTTTTGCTGATGACTTCTAGTGATGCATAATGGCTTTATGAAGCAGTTTTATGTTAGAACCCTTGCAGATTCTAAACTTGGGGTTGATCTCTTTAGGGGATCGACCTCCTTGGAACTCTATAGGGGTTCCTCCCTCCAAGTTGCTGCTCAAAGGCTGCAGAAAAGATTCATCTATTGCTTGAGAAAAGAGGAGGAATACATGGCTATTTATAGGGCTTCTAAACCCTAACTCCTAATAGGACTCCTACTTAAGACTCTTACTTCTAACCAACTCCTAATAGG